TTAAGCGTTTTCTGTAGTTTTCTGCATTTTTCAAAGGTCTTTTATTGATTACAGTCTATATCGGACGTCCGATACAGATCGAACATATGTTCTTTGAAAATTTCTTTGAAAAGCGCAGAAAATTGCAAAAAAACGCTTAAGAACATATATTAAGCACGTTTATTATTGTTCGATCTGTATCGGACGTCCGATATAGAATGTAATCTAAATCGGACGTCCGCGATAAGTTCAATCTAAATCGGACGTCCGATTTAGATTGAATCTAAATCGGACGGAAATCTAAATCGGACACAACATATACAAATCAATCGTGATTCTTTATTCGTCTTCATTATTCTGAATAAACGCTAACTGTTATTCTGCAAGCAAGTCAATCACGTTACAATAGTCGTGAGGATCTACTACTACAACAATATCTAATTAAATCTTTTGCATAGTTTGTTAGCTCTAAAATAGATGTACCCACAATGTACCCATAAACATTTGCTCGTGAGTAGTCAAGTCGGTTATACAAAATCCATCGAGTTTAGATAAATAGTAAACCCCATTCCCTAGCCTCTTTAGTTATTGAAAAATCCTAGTGATCACTCAAAAACATCCAGAACAAACCTCAAAAAGGAGTACAACAAAAAGAACCTTTAGGTTATCCCATTTTTTTTTGTCTGTTTTCGTTACCGGTAATCGGTGAGGGCAATTTTTCATGTATTGAATGAAAAAGAGAAAGAGGGGAACGATTTCAACCGTTTTCACACCTTTTTTTTTCTTTTATTCTTTTCTTTTTCATATTTTTCCTCACCCAATCCCCTGTCCACTAAATGCTTCAATTTGTTCGAAATGACGTGATGGACATTTAGAGACGAAAATCATCCACCGTAACATCTCTTTCTATACTTATAATTGGGGGCTTTTTTTGGTATAATCATTTTTGGTGAGTGGAGATCCGTAAACTCTAGAGTTTTTAAGTTTTAGATTTCTGGACAATATTTTTTGTAATTTAAAAATTCGAATTGCTGATTTAATGCTTTGATTATCAGATTATCAGAAGATTTTGATTATTAGAAGATTTATTTTTGGTGTAATGGATGATGAAAGACAATGTCGACATTGTGTCCACTTGTTTATTTTTCTTTTGAATCCATTTTTGAACTTTCGAAATTATGGAAATGACCTGCACTTACGCTCTATTTTCCATAAGTCTAATATCTTAAACTATAGTTAGCTCACCCTTCTGATTATTTTTGCAGTTTAACTAAATTTAGAAATTTCTTTCTTTCTTGTTCATTCATTTGGCCGATTTTATAGTTTTTCTCTCAAGAAATGGATTCTAATGGAAAAGAAAATGACCTCACTTTTTCTCTAATTGTGAAATTCATTTCACTTGCCATTTTTAGTTTTAACGATTTTTTACAATTATTTTGTTAGAACAGGTTTTAATCAAGACCATTAATGCGTCAAGAAGAAAATGAGTCACCGGAAATTAGAAAAGTGCTTGGGATCTACGTTGAAATCTATAAGGTTATATATAGGTTGAAATTTTTAAGGCAACTGCATATTTTTTCAATTTAAATAAACCCTTGCCAAAAAGCAAGACAAATTTCCAATCTATTGAAAGAATAGATTGGAAATTTGGAAATTGAAAGAATCATTATCTCTTTGATCATTCAAAAGCCACCAATTTTTCAGTTATTTCATATTTCCTATTTCCCATTTCGTTTCTTTGATCTTTTCTCACTGTTCTAGTGATTTATTCAGATCAAATTGCAAATTTTATGATCAATCTCTTTGAGAAAGCATGGGAATAACACGCATTTCACTACAGAAATACGCATGAGAAGTGTTTCTGATTGATTTTGATTTGATTTTAAATTGACTTTGAATTGATTTTGTTTCTGACAAATTTATTGCTTATTTTTAGATGATGATTATAAAGCTGAACGAATAACGCCATTTAAAGGCTTTTTCTGTTATAACACATGCTAAGATCTTAAGATTTCTACAGTTCTTTAAATATCTACAGCTAAGTTGCTGTTCAATTCCTATAGTTATTTTGAATTCCTTTTTTTTGTTTCTAGACATTAAGAGTTCAGTTTTATTAAGCGAGACTCAAAATGAATGATCTCCATCCCATTTCCCCCTTTAGCTATCATTCAAAAAACGTCATCGAACTGTAAAAGCTCACTGTTTTCATTTCCGTTATTGATTTTTTAGTAGTAAATCAAAGCCAGTCAGGATATTAAAAAAATCTCTTTTACTAGCTTTTGAGGTGGACGGGTACTAGTAGCTATTTTTAGCATGGTTACTAATGTTCTCGAAACACAGGGTTCTAAATTTCACACTCAAATACCCGCACATGTGAGCTAAATCCTACTTATAAAATGTGTACTGTAAGGAAGTGTAAAATGCTCTCACTTTAAGTCCTGCACATTGTTTTTTTTGTTCAAATACTTTCTCCTCAACATTTTTTCCTTTTTCTAATCGTGCCAAACGTCGTTTCCCTGAAATTCCCCGGACGCTCAAAAATGATTTCATATTTTCTTTCGCTTGTCCTCCCACCCTGTTCAGCGAATATTTCCTGGTCGAGAAGAACTTCTCAGCAATTTATTTCTCACCGATTTGCAGATCTAATTTATGTTTCCCATACAAAATGATAAATGGGCTTTGAAAGATTGACTCAAATCTATTGCCCAAACAGAAATTCATCCAAATTAGAGTCGAGGTCAAAAACTCGACAATATTATTGACAAATTCGCTATTTTTGGGGAAAAGAAAGTTTCAGAGGTGTTTGCCAACAGAAAGATTTCTTTTAGAATTGTTAATGTTTGTAGACAGTCCGAAAAGACACTAAAAAACAGTAATCCAATTAGAAGATTTCACGAGGTCTCTAGACGAGTATAAATTTGAAGGGAAAACCATTAGGTGAACAAAAGTTTTACTTTTTGTTAAATGCTTTAAGATTTTGTACATTTGGCTTGGCTTGTGTTCATTTTTTAAATTTTACTGCTCTAATTCTTAGCTTTTTATCGAGTGTCGATAAAAAGCCACTCGATAAAAAGCTAAGAATTAGACTCGGCAGTACTTCTTTAGTATCCTAGAGCGGGTAACAATTTTAGCAAACTTGTATCACTTAAACATGTCCAATTTTGACTTTAAAGCATTATTAGACAGCTGAGACTTTGTAGATTCTAATAGTCTTTCGTTTTTCAAAATCTATCACAAAAAAGTGTTTAAATTGTGGGTTAAAGTTTGGCAAAATCGCAAAATCGTTATTTCGTTAATTGATACTAATAAAGTGCCAACTAGGCTAGTAAAATCGTTAAAGAAAGCTATCATAAGCACTCATACTTCCGGTTTCCATAAAATCACCGCCGAGCTTTTTTGCAAATATGAGAACATCGCACCCATGTCTCAGAGATGTTATGATCAAAGTTTTTCCCGTCTCAAAAGATTTCTTTCGGCTAAAAATGACGATGATTTCTCCCTTTCTCACAAACCGATCCTTCTGCTGTGATTCGCCGATCTACTTGCGTCAATCCCCCCTTGATCAGCACTCCTTTTCAATCACCATTCTCCTTTCCTGTCCTCCGTTTTTAGACTTGAATCATAGTTGATAAAATGACCATAATAAATGATTATAAATTAAATGACCATTTTCGATCGATTTCCTTATCTACTATATATAAAGCAGAAGAGACGTTTGTTCGTCTGTCCATCTGTGCGCAGCCATGAGCAAAAAGGGGCGTTGGCAAAAAGGGGCGTCAGCAAAAAGGGGCATTAGATTGCGCGGAAAACGTGGATCTCTCCGCTCGGCGACCGCTCCCCAATGGTCTTTTAATAACACCTGACACTTTAAGCCTTAAAAATCCCATTCTGTTCTTTTACAGTTCTTGCAGTTTGAGCTGTAAAAGAACAAAATGCATTGGAGTTTATTTTACTTGAATAAGGGATTTGCATAATAAGCATGATTTTTGCCATCAAAGATCTCTTGTACCATTTTGTTTACCATTTTCAAACATTATTCAAACATCAAACATGCTTAATCATATCGAACGTCAAAATTTGTGAAACTAGTCAAATCTAGTCGATTTGTTCGAATCAAAGCGTGTTTCTCCTGCTGAGAAACCCGTCGATTTTCCTGTTCATTTCCTACATTTATTAAAAAAAAATCCTTTCATGTTTACATGAAATTTTCTATCGATTTGGATGTGTTGACGAGTTTTTTTGAATAACATTTTTATTGTGACTAGAAATGATCAATGAAAAATGGGATTCTTTTAAGGAAATCTGAGAATCAAGAAAACTGAAAATGAATGAATCGAAAGCTTTTTGATCAATTATGATGATTGAAATCTTCTTAATGCTTTGAGAATATCGTTTTATTGCATTTACAAGAACTAACTTGTCTTTTGATTCTTTTGAAGAAAGAAAGCTTAATCTTTTGATACCAAGCCATTTAACAATTATCCATTTTAACTGAACATATCGCAAAGTTACCCAGTAATTGCCTAAATTGCAAGAAATCCTTTCAAAAATTAACTTTAATCCTTACTTTTTATATTTTTTTATGAAGCTTTACTCTTTTTACATCTTGCACTTATCACTTTCTTTTCTTTAATTTTGACGTATCACCATTTTAGATCAAGTACTTTTCATTTTTCTCTCAATGGCGTCTCATTTTCCCTCGATTTAATGAGGGCAAATCTTTTCTTCTTTTTTCTAAATGAGAGAAATCAATGAGACTCTAATTTCTTCTCAATATTTTCTGAAAGATTTTATCGCAAAAGTGAGAAAGTTTTGGTGCTGTGATGAACTTTGCATTTTTCAGGTATCTCGATCGAATCAAAGAGCTCAAATCGGAGAAGAGTCCCTAAAAGAACTCATCTATTGATACAAATCAATCAATCTTCAAATTCTTCTCTTTTCTTTTCCTTTCTTTACCCCAGTTCTCTTTTTTCGCCGAATCTCCGCTTCAACGGGATCTTCGGACTTTTCTTCTCAATTGGATGGTTACCAGTATACGTCTTCTTCTGTTAGCAATTGTCATCTCTTTCTGCTCAAATTGGCAATTTGCCTTTCAGGTCAGTGACTTAAAAAATACGTAGATATTTGGAGTATTGTTTATAACTTAAAAAAATTAGGGACTATACAGGTTGCGGGGCAGTGGAAGTCTCCAAAATGCCTCTGGCAAGTGCTTTTCCTAGGGTTTTCAGCCACGCTGAATCGACTGATAATTTTTTTAGAACGTGTTTGTCTAGTTTAAGTCCGGTAACAGGCAGTCAGTCTTAACCTATGCCCGGCCAATACTCGAACGTGATTAAACATACTATATGATAAATAGTTAAGATAAATAACACGCTAAATAACACGATAAATACTTGGCCTAAATAAATAACACGCAAACAACGCGGGAGCGGCAAAGAGGCATGTAAGACGTCTAGACCGTTAACAACACTCGAGACAACACAAGCCTATGCTCAGCCAGTTTGCTGAGCCATAGCCTAGTATAAACTTAGTGTATCAAGAACAACCTCTGAAAATATCACCGATCGATTCAACGTGGTCGAAAACCCTTTTTTGCGGAAACTGTTTTTGCACTTGCCGGAGACATTTTTGAGGCGCCGCCCACTAGCCCTCCAACCCGTATAGCCCCGAAAATTACTTTACTAACAATAAGACCTAGATCTAATGATAGACTATTCCAAAAATCTTAAAAGCTTTCTAAGTTTGGAAAGTCGTCATAATAGCCTGACTTTCAACTAAACATTAAAACATTTTAAAATGTCCATTGAAAATCTCGTCCATCACTTGTTTAATCTGTATAAACGGTGGCTGAGTCAGCGCTGTCACCGCAAAAATCGCAATGATGGAGCGTTTAGCATTGAAAGAGTGAATGAAAAAGGAGAGACTGGTCGAGCATTTATCTATCCTTTTTGTCCGAATCGAATCACTTTTGACAGTAGAAATAAAAGGGGAGAGAACTGTAGAACCAATGAAATAATCGCGATAGTTTTTGAACGGAAATGGCCCAAATTACCTCAATTTTCTCCTTCAATCATCCATGACAAGATCACCGGGTTTTGCTCTTCGGAAATGATCAGTTATTTATACAGATTTTGATTTCTGTGGTTAGTAAAATGTGAAACTGTGTGAATGTAAATAAAGTAACGTTTAAGACTAATTGAGCTAATTGATTTCTGTTGTAATCCGTAGCAAAAACACGACACTTTAACGACACTAAACCTTAGTCATTTTCAGATCACGTATGTGAACACTTCGGTGAAAACTTTCTACGATCTTGCCAATCAAGGATATCAACTACAAAATCGATGTTCTAAGCTTGACCCACAGTCAGTTTTCCGAACACTGTTTCACTTCCAAATCTTTCGCACGGGAAAAAATGAAAAAAATGACCTGCTGAGAAAGTTTCGTTGAGTGGAAAATAGGAAAATCTTTTTGTCAATTTCTCTCAATCCTGAAAAGGATGAAAACAAGAGATTTTTATCTTTTTTTTGGGTCTATGATGTCTATTAAACAATAAATTATGAACTTGTTTTTGTGAAAACTCATCGAACTTGCCAAAAAAGTGAGATATTTTGAAAGAAAATGATTAAGAAGCTATTTTAACATTAGTTACAACTTGTTAGAGGGTGAATTTGATTTGAAGGAATAACTTGAATAAGCTCCAATTTCAGTTGTCGTCTTCCAAATATCGAATGGTCGGAAAGATGGAGTACAATCGTTTCGAGTTTTTATCCAGGAACACTCGTCGGATTTCTCGCGGTAGCTTAATAGAACATATCCAAGATAAAAAAATATAGGATTCTCTTCAAAAAATAATCCTAAATTCAGGTTCCATTCATTGTGGAACGAATTGGAGTGAAATCAACAATGATCACGATGAGTTTCTCTGCAATCGCTGGCTGTCTCGTGCATTTCTTCGCTGCCTTTTCCGTTCATAGTGGTTTGTTTTAAGATTAGTTACAATTTAAAAGCTGCTTACAATTAGCTTTGTACAGTAGGTTTGTTGAATTTGTTGAATTGAAGGTTTGAATTTTAGAATCGATGAACAAATTTGCCCTTTCCCTTCCTAGGGGATACGGTAAGCACGTGTGAAAGAATCACTCACCCAAGAACAAAAGAATAGAATCAATCTAATCAATCTAATCAATCACTAACAAACTGCTAAGAATATTATATGTTGCTTCGCTAACTTTTTCCTCAATAGCATTCATTCTTGATTTCCAGGAGCGTTTATGTTTGATGCAATTCTTGTTCTTGGACGATTCTTGATTGGATGCCAATCGGGTACATCGTTATCTCTGTTACCCCTTTACATTGTGGAAGTGAGCCCGTTGAAGGATAGAGGATTCCTCAACACATTCCAGGTAATTTATAATAAAAAGATGTTAAATCATGGAATCTAAATCTATTATTTAAGCAAGAATTTTTACATTACAAAAGTGATTTAATGCAAAATTACAAAAGTGATTTAATGCAAAATTACAAAAGTGATTTTTAGCAAGTGGCTCAAGCTGTTGGAACACTTCTTGGTCTACTGATCGGTTCAGAAGCAATCATTCCATTGGGTGAATGGCGTTATACTGTAATGCAGGTTTGTCCTAGTAAAAATACATTTTCTAAACTTGTGAACTTCAAAATATAAATATTTTTTAAGGTAGCTGCTCTTCTACCGACTCTTCTCTATGTCGCTGTATTGACATTGACACCAAAAACACCAATGCAATTGTTAAAGGATGGATCCGATATATCACAAGGTTTTAATATCCCGGTAACTTTAATATATATGTTTCTTTATTTCAGTACTCTCATCACTCCGTTTTTATCATGGAAAGGAGGGAAATTTGAAAGAAGTCGAAAATGAAACCGCCCAAGCAACGAAAATGTCCTATGATCAAAAGTACGGGGTTTTTAACAAAGAAACTTTGAAAAAATACTTATCTATCAATCTATCGTTATGTATTTAGACCTGAGGGTATTCCATGGGCAACATGGAAAGGTTTCTTCATTGGAGCCTGTGCTGCGATGAGTTACTCATTCACCGCCGATGATCTCATCGATACTTTCTCGGCTCAAATTCTACATGTATTCTTTCATATTCTTTCATAATTCTTTCATAATTCTTCCATAACACATTTAATAACATTAGTGGCATTTATAACTTTAAATATTTCAGAAAGCCCCTATGACAAATGGAACTGAAGACGGAGATTTGATCGATGACAGTGCTGATCGGATTTCGGTGATTCTTGGAGGAATTCTCGTCGTTGGAAGTATTGCAGGCACATTCTTGGTGAGTACTTATTTAAATATTACATATTAATGAAAAAGGATATTTTACCTAAGCTAATCAATCTCTTTGATCATTTCAGATTGATCGTTTTGGTCGTCGTCCTCTTCTTCTTCTTGGTTTACTCGGTTCAGCTATCAGCAATGCAGTGGCTGTAATTTTCTGCACGAATTCCCTTATTGTCACTCTTGGATTTGCGGCCACAAAGCTATTCATTGGTTTGTCAATAAATTTTGCAAAAGTTATCCATATATGCGAACGTTAACAATTACAGGATTGGGTGCCGGTGCTCCAGCTTGGTTCCTCACTTCAGAACTTGTGCATCCTCATTATATGACTGTCATGCAATCTCTATCGACTGGACTTCTTTTGATGTCTACAGGTTTTGTGTAAATCTTCAGCAAATACAAATTTCTTCTAGCTCTTGCCACGTTCTTCTTCTTGCGTCTTGAATTGTGGATTGGAACATGGTCAATGTTTGCCCTTTCATCAGCTCCTGCATTGGTCCTTGCTATCATCTTGTTTTTATATCTACCAGAAACAAAGGTGAGCAGTGAAAAGGTTATAGACAAAATAAAGGCTTAGATTGACAAATAAAAATCGAATCCACTCAAGAAACCTATAATTTCAGGATCGAAATCACGAAGAGATTCAGCGTATTCTCGGCAAAACATCCTTCTCGGGCCTCATCAAAAAAGGCGGCCCCAAAATTGCCCCATATTACGGTACTCTGTAATATGTAATTGTTTTATATTCGAATTTCTGAATACAAACAAATATCACCCGCAAATCATAATCTGTTTATTGCCTATTTGTTGACTGTCCACCCATTTGGTTGACAACTTTTCTTGTCACTTTTGTTTTTCCTCTCTATTGTAGCTGTAAAGTAATACGGTGCTACGAAAGATTCTCTTTATTATTAAAATTTTTGATTTCCAGAAATTCTTTCAAGTTTTATAAACCTGTCTATTCTTTCCAAAGGGTCCCCATTAGAGCTTTACTTGAAGAATTTTGTTTCCAAAATTTCTCGTATTTCTGATTTTGTAATGATCTTTAAATGAATAGTTGAATATTTCTTTTTTTCTTTTTTTCTTGAAGTTTTCACTCCAAACATTGCCCTGATATTGCCGATGAAACGAGTGCTGACTGTACATAATAAAATCTTTCGATTTTTCGTCAACGATTGATAAAAAGCAATGCAGACACTAAAATTTAAAGCCACACACAAGTTGAATGAACTTTCTTTCTTTTGATCAGCCTCGTTATTCAAGAATACAATCGATTTTGCATGCAAATTTCTCGTAGATTTAGGGGTGGGATTTTTGGTAATTGGAGATGATTTGAAAGAAGAAAAGACGGAGAAGTCTTTTCTTTCAAATTCACAATTCGTATAAACTAATAGTAATCTATTCGCCGTAAGTAAATTTTAGGCAGTCTAACCGTTTCAGATTTTCTTCTATAATAAAGGATCAATTTAATCAAGGGCTGATTGAATGGATCACCTTGGATCAAGTCATTAAAGTAGGTTGTATTTTGGTTGGTTCACCAGGCTTGTACATAGACAAAACCATAAAAATATAAAACAAACTGTGATCTCGGCGGGTTTTGCTTTAAAATTTTGATTTGGAGCAATCCTAGCCTGTTTCTATTCTCGTTTTTAACGTAAGGGTCACTCTTGACCAGACTTCCCCTTCCCTCCCTGTTCCATTCTCTTTCAACCAAAAGACCCATCTTCTTCTCTTCTTTTCCCTTCATACATTTCCAACAGCTGTTTACGATTTCTACTACTATTGATCCAATTTAATATAAGCACTTTTTATTCTTGATTCATTTTTAGTTTCCATACAATCAGTGATTGCGAACATGGAAGCAAGCGATTGGCCGAGACAACGGGTTCGGTTATATTTTACTTTGAAAAGCTTTAATGAGTATCTTTTTAGTTTAATTGTTTGAAAAAAGTTTAGAAATCCCGACTGACAGAAGAAGAAAATCATTCTCAATCGATAAGAGCACCAACGGATTATGAAAAAATCAAGAGACCCGTTGAGAGAGATTGGCCAATTTGTAAGTGTTGACACTTTTACCAGTAGCATCAAAAAATGTTGCACTGAATTCCAATGCACTCTTACCTCATTCATACAAATTTCAGGCTTATTTCTGAGTCTAGCCGGAGCGCTCATCGTTGCTGGCTTGTTTTTTGCAACCATTGTGAGTAAATGTTAATTGAAATTTAGTTAAGGCTAAAAAAATGATCACAGCCGCTCAATGAAACAGATTTCTTGCTTTATTTTGAGAGAATTCTCTTAAAACAATTAGAAACAAAGGGGGTTTTTTTGAAGAAAATTACCTCAAATTTGTCTTTTTACAAACATGAATTTCTATAAATCAAGTTTTTACAGGGTAAAGCTTTTACAAATCTGTCAGAGAAATGAAATTGTTGTACAAATAGTACAGAAATTGTACAGATAGTACAGAAATTGATCTAAAAAGTATTCATGAGAATTCAGACCGGTTTCATTACATATGAAGGTGATGCTCATCGTTCAATGTTTGAGGTGATCTTGGGTTAGGTAGGAAAAATAAGTTCAAAAGGATTCCAGAAACAAAAATCAATGTATGAACAAGGAAAACATGTGGAGATACGTGAGTTATTGTGTACTTTAAAAAGCTTATAAAACTAGTATTTCAGCTTTGCAAGCTACACCCGGTCAACAACGAATGGAAGAGGAAAAAGTCTGGACAACTGCTGTACCGGAACCTGGTCAGTATATAAAATAATGATTCTTGAAAATGCTTAGATATAATTCTAATGATTAAGTTTAGTTCCAACGCAAAAACCAGTGGTTTCTCCAAGAACTCAACAAACTCCACCTCCACCAAAACCACCACAACAAGCAGCACAACAATCGGCAAAGGCTACCCAACAGCAACCAAAAAATGCACAAGGTGTGTGATAATATTTTCCATTAGAATTAGACTAGGCTCTTGTTAGTTAAACAAATTAATTGGTTAAAATTGGCATTTAAAAATTATCAATTACCAGAAAAAACGTGGGCCAAAGGACCGATTAATACTAGGTTGTAAAGAAGGTTCTCGGAAAAAGTTTGCACGGTGATTTCTCAAAAACCAAACCATGAATTCTTTCCAGATTTTTTGATAAACTTGACTATATTTCAAAAAGTTTTTGACAAAAAATCAGAGTGGGTTTTAGGTAAAAAAATAAGAGTTTTCTTCAGCTAAAGTGACTTGATCACTTTTTGAGCGACCAGCCTTTACACAAGTTTTTAATGGGTTAATGGATAGGCAATGGGTTCCATTCCTAGTCTTTTTCAAAAATTTGAAGTTTTTGAACTTTAAAATGCAACAAAGAAGATCTCCTGGTTGTTCTCTGTGCGCGAGCACAATCGCGCTAGATCTGGCATCCTCTGTTTCCAGATATAGCTCCCTTTTCAGCTCTCAAATTGGAAGGGTCCATTTTGGGTCATCCGGTAACCAATCCGTTGTCTGCCCCATGTGGTCACCGCTTCCCAAAACTAACCCTGGTTGTCGAACTGGTTAACCCAGTTCCGGCTCATTTTGACCATTATGGCGGGTTCTCTGTCGGTCGAAATGAGATCCCAAGTGCCTGTAAAAGGGTGCTGAAGGGAGCCGCTGTGAATTTTGGATTCATCCCAAGGATTTCGGTCCGTAGGGGCAGCAAGAAACTCATGAAACAAAACGAGTAAACGGGCTCAAGCATTGGAAAATACTAGAGATGCTGTTGGCCTAAAATCGCCGTTTGTGGCCTGAAATGGCCTAAAATGAAGCTTTTTCGAAAAACAGAAGCTCTTGAAGCCTAGTGGCTGGAAGGTAATTCTTATATTAGTTTAGAAAGAAAGTCCGTAGAAAAAGTTTGCACGGTGATTTCTCAAAAACCAAGCCATGAATTCTTCCCAGATTTTTTAATAAACTTGACTATATTTCAAAAAGTTTTCGGCAAAAATCAGAGTGGGCTTCAGGTAAAGAAAATCAGAGATTTCTTCAGCTGAAGTGACTTCGTCACTTTTCGAGTGACTAGCCTTAAGACAAGTTTCTATTGGGTTAATGGATAGGCAATGGGTCCCGTTCAAAACCTAAAATCAAGTACTTAAAATAGGGAAAACTTGTGATTAAGGCAAATTTTATCTAATGCTTTAACTTTTCAGAATCACCTATTTTAGCAAACACTCAGTGCCAAGAAGATGACACCAAAAAATTATTTCTTGAAATACAGCTTCTCTGTCAAAAACTTTTGGCTAAAAATAGAGATTATAGAGCACATTGCTTATTAATGCTAGCTTTATCTCATAAGGAATCGTTTTTCTGGTGCAAAAAGTGAGCTGAATTTAAGCTGGAAAATAAGAATTTTTCAAACATCTCTAAAATTTTAAAGGAAAGCTGTACTCATTTTTTTACGTGTAATTTCTTGGAGTCGACTTGTAAATAATCGAATAAAATGTTCTTGAATTAGTGGATTCGTTTTTAGGAAATTCCAGTCAAACTTTTTCCGAGAACTTTCTTTTCAACCTAATAGATAGATGTAGACCTAATAGATGTAGACCTATGGCTGAATATCTTAAGTTTTCTCTTGTGGGCTAATAATTCACAGCAAATATACTATAATTTACTATAAATATACTATAATTATTATAATCCGCGTGAATATTTATTTCCATTCGTTTATTTTTACTCATAGATTAGTATCGTTCATTTTTTAACATAAACATTTTATTTTAGACAACAAATAACAACATTTAATTTAGCGATTTAACATTTAATTTAACGGGAGATGGATTTTCACGCCTGGTAACAATATTGGTTTTGGCTATTTCACGAAAAGCTTCTGCTTCAACCCATAAGTCTTTATGATTGTTCTAAGAAAGAATATTCAAGATATTTATAAAATAGAATACGTAATGCATAGATGAAGTTAAGGTGTACGAAAAACTAGCACCGCACAACTTGCACTCGCCAAAGCTATTTTCATTCTGCGTAATTTTATTTATAAACTGCCACACTAGTGATGGGAGTTGTGGTCGAGATGGAGAAGTAAATTTCTTAAAATAACATGGGCTATCTGGAAAAGTCTACCTATGCATAATTTAATTTGCATTCATCCAGTGATCAATCAGACATTATTCAATGAAATATTTTTAACCAAATTGTGCAAATTTAACCAATAGGAACTCACTCTAGTTTTTGAATAAACAACTATTGTCGAAAGATTTTAGTTTCAAGCTCGACTCCATCTCAATCAACTCAACAAATTCCGCAACCTGCTCACCAAACACAGCAACCTCCATTAAATCAAAATCAACAAAAACCATCACCACAACCTACAGTCCCTCGTCCCAATCCTCAACAAAACGCTCAACCCCAACAACAAAAACTACAACAGCCAGTTGCCCAAGGTAGAAATTTAGTTTTCTTCTCTAACATTAGCAGCTTATAAAGAAAACTGTTATGTAAAATCTTTGTGTTTAAATCATTTGCAGGCCAGAAGACTCCTCCACAACCAGCCGGTAAAACTGTTTCAGTTCAACAACCCCACCCGAAACCTAAACCTGCTCAACCATCACAAGCACAACAGCAAAAACAAACAGCTCAAGGTGAACTTGAAAGAAAAATACCTAAACACAAAAATGCCTTGTATTTAAATAATCAGCCGAAAAAGCCCGTACAGACGGACAGACACTGCTCTTTTATGTATAGTGGATTTTAATATCTTTAAAAGATTTTCAGCTCCTGTGCCTCAGTCAGCTTCTAATCAGCCACCTCCACAAAGATCCACTCCCGTACCACAAACCCCGGAAAACAAAGGTTAGAGACTAATTGTTGATTAAAAAGTTCTTTTTAGCAAAGCCAAACACTCCTGGATCACAACCTTAACTATCCGGATTGCTTGCGGAATAAACAGTTTTGTTTTCTGAAACAGTTTTTCCATAAAAATCACAAATATTAACCCACCCAGATATATACTATTATTGAAAATGCACCAAGTAATAAAAACAAAAAGAAAAGATTGTTAAAATTTGCAAAAATACCTCAATGTATGCCTATTCACTTCTTATCAGCTGACCAATTTTCATTGCGATAATGAAATGCATGCTGATTCATTCATTGATTGAACAAAAACACATGGGAAACACTCTTAGACGTCTAATCGAAATAATACATTTCTGATGATTTTTTCTGATCGTTTTCATTGCAGTTTTAACTTTCCCCGCAGTCATATAATTTTTTGAATTGGTGTTTTTAAATTATTTGGATTAGTGTTGTGGTGCAACAGAATAACGATATTTTTTGGGGTTTTTTGAGGAACAGATGAACAGATGATGAATCATATTAGGTTATTACTAATTTTGAGTTTTAAACCCTTTGTAATCTTAGGGTGTCCGGAATGAAAATACCCTCAACTTCGATTGCAATTTTTTTCGTGTAGCGAAGAGCTTCGCGTCTGGTTTTTTTGTTTAAAGTTATATATGTTTTCTAATTCTATGTTTTTGGAAAAATTTACTATCTTATAATTTTGAATTTTTTCAGAAGGGAAGATCAGAAGTACCGAATAAAGTGCTCGCTCTATGACTCCAAACAAGGAAAAGGTGTCCTGGCCGATAAACACTTCAAGGACCACGACGAAGTCCGAATTTGGGTAGGCCAATACTTCGACTCGCAACCTCAGGATTCCTTCACCAAAGGGATCCGAGATTTGAAAGAAAAATGGAGAAAGACTATTGCCAACCACGGAGAATATCTTTTGGATTAAAGCTCATTGTTTTCCTTTTGTGGAGATAAATTTGTTTTTCATTAAAAGGGTATTTTCATTCCGTACAACCTAATATCTTTCTACATGTAAAACTTCATTTTCGTAACCAGTCAGCTTATAAAAACAAAGCTTTTTATAGATTCACTACTATCTTTTCCTCGTTTCTCCATCCAAATCGATCTTTCCTTTCCTTTCTGATTTTTTATTCATATAGAAGTCATTTTTTGTCTTTCCTGATCAAATCTTTCAATTTCTTTTGCTTATTCTATGCCTGTCTATCTTCCCAATCCTCATCGCGATCAACATAAAAAGATTTTAGAGACAGAAGCTTTTTCTCTTAAAAAATCGTCGCAGGGTGTGATTGAAAGATTTGAATCGATTGAATTCATTTTATTTTAAAAAGGGAGGCACGTTACGACAAAAATGATCGGCTCGCCTGATATTGGAGGGTTCCCGATTGAATTGCAATCATCCACCGTGAGTTTAGCTATTGTTTATTGAGTGTGTTTAATCGTGCCCACGATGTTTCTCATTATTTCTATGATTTTTTCAGTATGACACATGAGAATGCTATGTATCAGACGAAAGTTATTAGATCACTAAAAAATTGCTATTTTTCATGTTAAGCACGTCACGATCACGTCAGCATAAATCTTTCCGTTTGGTTGATTTGGTTGATAACGAGATCATTTGGTTCACAGAGGGCGGGGCTTTGCCTTTTAGGCTTCTACGTTAAATTTTGCAAATGATATTGCAAAAGTCCAACTACGCACTAATAGGAACAAATTTCATGCTGAAAGATTTATCTTGATCAGTGTCCATAAAATTTAATTGCTATTTTGAAGAGAGCTTGATACTACAATGTCACATAAAAAGGGAACACGCCTTTTGTTATGCAGCCAACTAATCATTTCGATCAGTTCGACAGTACTTTATTGCTGGCACTTTCTTGCCAAATCATTATTTTTCCATTTCCGTTCCGACAATACTTTATTCGATAAAAGAGTTTAGTTAGTATTTTAGAACATGCTTGATATTCATATCAAATTTTTAATTCAAAAAGCAACACACTTTAAAAGCTGGTCATTAAATTTTAGGATTGCTCAAAGCCAGCATCAAATCGTCGTCCTTCATTCAGCGGTGGAGTTCGTGTGATTGGGAGGAAAATTCGCGATTCTTGCAAAGCTGTCACATTCAATTTGGGAAAGGTAAATTAGAGTCAGAATAAAAAGATATTGTTAAAAATCAGATAATCTTTTTCTTACGAAGATGAGTTCAACAAAAAACATTTCTTGCATACCTCAGGGTTTTTACTCTTTTGATTGTGATGAGTCACATAAAGTACACAAATAACAAAGGGCAAAATCATTAAAAAAGTAATGATTTGGTAAGAAAATGTTAGCTGTTAAACATTGATTTATTTGTTAACTTTTCTATTGTAGTTATCCGTTAATTTGTTAATCTTAACCTAATGATTGGTCAAAAAACTTTCAAGGAATAGAAAGTTTAAGAATTCGCAAACTTTTAAACAATTTGTTGAAGTGTTATTTCAGAGAAAGTCTCCCTTTCAAATCCTTTTCCATACCTATTTCTCCATCACCGTATTATGAAAGAGATCTTAGTTGGCATTTCTCTTTACTCCCTCTCTTTTCCATTCCCGTCATTAGGTGTACCTCGTTTTTGTTCACTCATTCGCAATCTCAATTTCTACACTTTTCTACACTTTTTTCATCATCTTTTGATCTCAATTACATCGAAAACAACAAAATTTTTTCTATGCTCTAAGAAACAGATTCGAAGGTAATTTCCGTTTAATTGGCTGATTGGTCTGCTGCTTTGTGAAGCTTGTAGTGAATGTTTAAAAATACAACTGTTACTATAGTTGTAATTCATTAACTTTAATTATTAATATTAAGCCTAATATTAAGCCTTTAGATGAAGAAATCACCCCAATCGGGCAGTCAATCGATCAAAAATCTCCGCAAAGTTTTGGATGAAATCGACGTGAACAAAGATGGATGGAAAGAAAAGGTTCAAGACACAGAATAACACTCCTTTTCAATAAATAAAACTTATAGATAATCGATTTTGTCTACGATGAATTCTCTGTGCAAAATGAAGAGAGAAATATGTGCGAGACAAGAGAAACCACATCAAAAATGTTCTATTTTGGAAATGGAAGCGATTCAGAAAGTGGGCCGAGTACTCCAACACAAGGTATCATAGTTTATGAGCTTGATAATTGAATTGAATGTATGAATAAATGTTTTAAAACGATCATTAACTGATACTTTCTTTTAGAATCGTGTCCATCTTTGCTTGACATTGCACCAACTCAAGACAGGACAATTGATGATTTGACGAAAGATTTGAAAGAAGGTACTTTTGATTTTTAAAAGCGCTGGCACATTGGTTACAATCTTTCTCTGTAGTGATGTCTATTTAAAATTTAGAAAGACCATTGAGGGACGGCGATTTTCTTCGTCTTCTCAATCGGGGAGTGATCAAATCACGAGAATTGGAAGAAAAAGTCAAAGAAAAGGAAAGAGCGGTGGCAATTCGAAGAGAATTTGTTGCACCAAAACTGCTAAACAACTTGCCATATAAAGGATACAATTACGATATGGTAAGTAAACAAGAAATGCAAATTTACCTAGGAATACTCACTAATCTATTCAAAATAAAAGCTATTCAGGTGATGAACTCGTGTTGTGAGAATGTCATTGGTTTTATGCCGATTCCGATGGGAACTGCTGGGCCATTGAAGGTATTTATAAAAGAAATTATTTCTTTGGTTAGAGCTAAGTACAACAAAATGTTAGAGTTCACAATAAGGACAATGATAGAGGTAAAAAAGTGCAAATAAAAATTTAGATCAACTGTCGAAACGTTTTTGTTCCAATGGCTACAACAGAGGGGGCTCTTATTGCATCGACTAATCGTGGATGCAGTGCGATTTTCGTGAGTGATTAGAAATTAGAGCAATTAGAAACCAAAAACTAATATTATATTTCGCATTTTGCTTTGGGACTCGAAACAAAAGCGCTAATCAACTCAAACTTTTGTAGCTTTGTTTTTTAGAAAGCTGGTGGTGTGACTTCGCGAGTCTTTGACGACAAAATGACTCGGGCTCCTGTGGTTCAAATGAGATGCTTGGATGACTGCCTGTAAGTGTAAAAACTTGCAAAATGTAAAACAAGTTAATAAAATTTTGCTTTAGAAAGCTCAAAAGTTGGATTTCTATTGAAGAAAACTTTCAGAAAATCAAAAAGGAATTTGATCAAACGAGCAGGTTTGTTGAAAAAGATGAGCATGGTGCAAGAAAGATTTTTAGGTTTGCCAACCTGCTCAAAATTGAAACGACAATTGATGGAAGTATTCTTTTCATTAAATTCTTTGCAAAAACCGGCGACGCAATGGGAATGAATATGGTATCAAAGTGAGTTAAACAGAAACTTAGAAAAGAATTGATGAGTTTTGTGAATGACTGAAGAGACTAGCCAGCTAGGATTAGATCAATCTTTTCATCAAATAAATTCTACGTTATAAGTCTTGCAAATCATTAACAACAAAATAATGAACAAATAAGTTTAGGGGATGCTCCAGCGCAATGAAATATTTGAAGGATCAATTCCCAGAAATGAAAGTTCTCTCGTTATCTGGAAATCTTTGTGTCGACAAAAAGGCGGCTGCGATTAATTGGTAAGAGAATAAAGAGGCATTTAATGAAACAATAAAATACCAGTCGACCAGTAGAAGTTTTCTGGCTGAGTGTTTTGGGGCTAACGCATAGTTTCAACTCAATGCCTAAGAAAATTTAAAATAAAAAAGTTTGGAATGGACGGGAATCGAACCCGACACCCCCTGGGGCAGTCGTTTTGTAGACGGGACGAAGTATGCACCTATTCATTTTTAATTCCCTATCGATCAAAAAAAGTTTGTCGAAATCGGTTCACGGGGAACCGAGATCCAGAGTGTGACGGACGGACGAACGGACGGACAGACAGACAGACAGCCCTCAATTATATATAGTAGATTCTGTGGAATTAAGGAAAGTTTAGGATCCAAGGAAGAGGGAAATCAGTGGCAGCTGAATGCAGTTTTTCTGATAAATTGGTCTCCTCAATCTTTCGCACAACACCTCGCGATCTTGTTGAAGCTGCCAATGCAAAAGTTTGTTTAAAATATCTACATAATGCATACGATCTACTTATTCACAAATATTAGCAAATTACTATAATAAATACAACTTTTAGTTAAATGTCGGTTCATCTAGAGCGGGTACACTTGGGGGTCAAAACTGTCATGCGGCCAATATCGTGGCTGCAATCTTCTTAGCCACCGGACAGGTGATAATCTAAAGCGAATTGAAAGAACGTTTTCTAAAATTCAGGATGCAGCACAAGTTGTCTCATCATCGATGTGTTCAACAAAAATCGAAGTGGATGACAAGGATGGAGATCTAAAGGTGTCATGTACAATGCCCGTTATGGAAGTGGGAACTGTTGGTGGAGGGACAATACTTGGACCACAAAGGGATTGCTTAAAGGTGAGGAAATCCAAAGATAAGATTAAAAAGTGCAAAGATAAGATTAAAAAGTGCGTTCTTAAGCCCAAATTGGACCTAAGAGTTCACCTAAATTGTTTTATCTTTAGATGTTGGAATGTGAGGGACCAAACGAGACGAGTCCAGGAGCAAATGCGGCCAGATTGGCTGAAGTGATCTGTGGAGCAGTGTTGGCTGGAGAAATTTCGTTGCTTGCTTCACTTACAACTGATGAACTTGTTGATAGTCATATGAAATTGAACAGGTTTGCAAGCTCAAGTGTAACATGTGTTTATTTTTTTTCTTGGTTAAGGTTCCACAAAAAAACTGCGTTTAAATATGAATTTTAGTCTAGACTTTTTGCATTTGGCATTTGTCAATTTATAAGCAGGAAAGTCTAGTAATGTCAGAAAGCAAGCTGAATAGAGTGTGTTCCTCTTGATTAAATAATTAATCAAATAAATTTTCATAAAGAGATTTTTAATCGATTCAAGGTCAAAAGACAGGATCAAGATTTATCTCAATTAACACGCCAAAAGAAAACGCATTAATCACGAGGAAAACACTCTAAAGCTGAGTGTGAGAATAACTAACAATCAATTCAGATCGAGAATGAACCTTTATTCATCGCCCTCATCATTGATGGTACCAAATACTCAATCAAAAGACCAACGAAATCCTCCAATTCCCACATCTCCTAATCAGATTCGTCAAAAACGAAACAGTGAATCGATGAGACCTGGATGTGCAAATATCTTATGATTCTAAACATTGTTAGAAAAATGTCAGTCAACTCAAATGATAACTTTTCTAGCAAATTGTTCTCCTTCTTTCAATGTGAAAACTCAATAAATGCACTAATCATTTCACTCCCATTATGTTTCCATTTGCTACAAGCTTGTCATAACTTATACACCTTAATTTGTGATCTTATGCGATGTGAAAATAAAACATTCCTGAAAAGCTTCAATTTATCAAAGATAGACAATATCAAACATATGGTACACTAATAATCTGAAGCGATGACTATAAATGTCGAAAGTGCCATCCTTTTAGAAGGAATTCTCCCCTTAAATACCGACGACGGATGCCTTTCGATAGACTTTTAACCGTACACGTCGCCTTTTCAGACATTTCCGCGCCAAACGTTGGAACTACGGTAACCCGACGCCATAAAAGGCCCCCTCCTTTTATGGCATCGTTTATGCGCCTTTTATGGCGCATAAAATGCTACAACACCAACTGAGGGGTTCTTCAGTTGTTTTTGTAGCTGTTGTTTTGTTGCCGTTTTGCCGAGTTGCAGTGTTGCCAGGATGGAATCGTCAGGGATCGTCAGGCTAGCCGGAGTAGTCATGGACTACGGGTGTCGGGTTGACGTAGGACAACAGAAGTGCAGGTGTCATTCGGAATGGACGTGTCTCCGGATCAACTCGATGCCGCCACTCGTGCCGAAGTAGCCAGGACCAGCCGCACCATCGATCAAGCTCAAAGTGAGGAAGATGATGGGCCAACAGAGGCAAGCCAACCAAGCGAGCTGACAGAGAAATCACGCCCAAACGATGAATGGATTGTGGATTCGATCAGACAGGATTATTACCGGGTTTTCGTGTGGCTCTTCTCCGTTTTGTTATTGGAATAAATCTACACTCATCCCGACACACACAAACATACAACCTACTCGCTCTATAAACCACTGAACCACTTGGTGCGCCTTTTGTTACTCTATCCTCAACACTGGTCTTCAGTATGGGGTGGCAGCCCATATTTTCGATAATAAAAACAAATCAATGAGGTAGATTGAAATATTTCAGTTTATTATTGATGACTCAAGCATGTAATTTGTATTGATTTTCGAGTGTCTCTTTGACCATTTCAAAATTGCACAACTTCCCAAAAACGCATTTTTATTAGCTGTCAACATAAAAAAAAGCAATGACTTTACCTCGGAAATATCATTTTTCTAAAGCCCAATAATATTAAAAAACGAGAAATGATTCGGTATTAAATAGTACATGTAGATTGTCCTTGATATCACAGATATTGGAAAACTGCAGAGAATTTGGGTAAACTTTAGGAAAGATCAACGAAAAGGAAAACTATCTAAAGATGAAAAACCTCGTATGGAAATGTGAATGAAAAAGTTCTGGAAATCCAAAGAAAATGCGGTAAAAAGAAAGCTATTTTTTTTCATTTTGAAGGTTTTCTAAATAAATTGCACGTTAAAGTGGCAAAATTGGTACCCATTTTAGGTTGATTAGAGAAGAAAGCTGAGAGATTTTTTGGTTGCTTTTTAGTCGACTTTCAATGATCCGTAGATTTTCGTCACGAAATAGAATGTTGCCAAAAAGCCGATCGTTCCTGAAAAATGTTTGTTATTGAAGGTTTGTCCTAGTGGTCAAGAACCCTTACAATTAACTCGAGCAAAACAGCGATAAAGATAAAATGACGGATCTAATAAACTCAATCTATTTACTAGGGTAGTTTAAAGTTTCCTTCTTTAAAGTATTTAAAAAAATATTTTCTTAACCTGTTGCCAAGAAGAAAAGGAAGACAAAAATGGCGGTGTAGGAGAAGTAGAGAATGGTTGAGACGACTCCAGAAATTGTCAACTTGCTTGTGAAATAATGAACACAATAGGCAAAAAGATAGACCGACGTGAATCCTGAGGTGAAAAATGAACGCCACCACCAGTGATAATCCTGAAATAAATTACGGCAATAAACGGGAAAGTCAGGCTTACTCACCTCTGCACAAAGATGGAAATATGCCAAAAGAATAGTAGCCTCCGAGCAAGTGATGATCAAAATTGTGTAGACCAAGAACAAAAAGCCGAACATGTAATAGGTTTGATGAGCCCAGATTGAGTTGAGGATGAAGAAAAGTTGAATGAAAATGCAACCAAATGGAAGAATTCCACCCATCAACATTCCGGGAAGTGGTTTCGTGTACAAAGTTTGTTCGGGCACCTAAAACGATTGAATTAATAGTAGGGCTATTTGAAAAAGTTCATAACACAACTCACCTGTCTGGGGATTTGATTAGTTCTGACTGAATGTTCAATGGCTTTCTTTTTGAATCCGAAATAGGCTCCAAGGAATGTCATTGGAGTGGCGATGAACATCCACAAACATAGAAGAGCGACAAGAGTACCAAATGGAACAGCTGCTGATGATCCTTTTGCCCAAAGAAGAGTGTTTGTAAAAAAGAACACACAGAAGATGATGCTGAAATTTCATTTATTGTCATCGTGTGCTTTTAATCGCTAACCTCGGCACAAAGAAACTTGTGAGCATGACATTCGTCTTCCAATGAACACCGGCAAAAGTTTTGTAGAAACGAGCTGATACATAACCGGCAGCAATTCCAAAGAAGACGTAGAAGAAAATGGCAAAAGTCATCAAAGAGCCACGATTAGCTGGAGAAAGGAATCCAAGGCAGGCAAAAACTGAAATGAACTGAGTAATTTGTGAGAAAGTTTTCCATTTACCCAATGTAATCGAGACCATCATGAGCACTTGTGATCCCGAACCAATGAAAACCGAAAGGAACATTGCATTTTTGGGAGATCGGAATACATCTCCATGCACCAATTTCCATCCAAATTCCTCAGCAGCGTCTTCCTGTAATTAGTCTTTGTATCCATTCGTAGTTGACTTTAAGAATTACTGTGTGTCATCTGTACTTAGTAGACTTGCCATCCGATGGATCGAATCCGGATTACATCGGATCGGATGATGATCTGATCCGATCCGATAAAAGCCTCTATCGGATTGAATCCGATCCGACAGAATTTCGATCGGATAGCAAGTATAGCAAGCAAGTATTTACCTCATTCTCCAATTGATTGTACCGAGCAATATCTCTATGAAGAGTTCTCATCAAAATCATCCCAACCATTCCCGAAAGGAAAAGCACAATAACCAGCGAGTTCATAATTGAGAACCATTGAATGTTTGTGTGTGGTGCTGAGTTCAAAATGTAATCCCATCGAGATGCCCATTTGGTTTCGGTTTTCTAAATTCATTGTACATTTGAATTGCTTTGTTGCAAAATTTTGGTCAACAGTTAAAAACTCACAATCCATTCAATTTTGTACGAATAAGTGATTTCTCCACTTCCACTTCCGGCTTTGAATGGAAGTGCCGGAGCTGTATCAGAGCAATCCAAGCTATCCGCTGATGAATGTTTGATTGATCGTGGCTGTACTTTTATTGAGATGATCCGACCACCAACCTGAAGTTCGGTGATAAAAATTTGGTGATTCAAACTTATTCAAAGTTAGACTAACTTTCTCATCAAGGAAATTCGGATCTTGACTCATATCTCTGTACTCGATGCGAATATCGACATGATTGAAAAGGTAGTAGCTGTCCAGTTGATTGAATTTATTCTAAAATGCATTCCATTCAAAAGTCTAAAAGGCATTGATATTGAACTCACATCAAGTACGCATGCATCATGTTGCATTCCATCTTTGCCCACATAACATCCCATTGGGAATCCAGTTGTGCAAACCTGAAAATAAAGATCGTTATTCTCATCTACTAGGTTGATGCAAATGATAAGGAAACAATAAGCACCATCGTTATCTATAACATCCCTCAAATGTTGCCTTTTAAAAGCCTACTTTACGCGTATGTAAAGAAATATGTATTTACTTGAATGCTTTGTTGATTCACAAAGCAAAACGTGACTGGCATGTTGTCGACAATCCTAAAAAGTACATTTACAAAATAAAATTGAATATATTGTTTCATTTTCAAAAACTTACCAATGATGTTGATAGTTGAGTTTCATTCCCCTTTGCAGAAGTCTCATCTTGTCTATATCTTGAGCCGAATTTTGATATTTCTTTGTGCACAACGCGGCACATTGAACAGGTTTCAGAAAACTGATCTAAAGTTTGCATTCATTTATGAAAATGTTAGCAAAAATAAACCTGATATGGGCTTGGTCGAATTCGTTCGCCGAAAAGTACTTGACCGAGGTTTTCAACGGGAGATTCATTCTCGGAACCGACACAGAAGTCGAAACTGAAAATGAGCAAGAGATTTCCGTTCTGATTCAATGACACAATTGTAGTCTACAATCTACAATAGTTGTATTAGAACAGTTACATTCAATTTGAAATTTAACATTTCCCCGTATGCTCAACATTCCTTTTGATCTTCGCTCAACATACCCTTTGATCTTCTACATTTTCAACCTTCCCTCAACGTTCTCTTTGGTCCCTTTAGTGCCAAAAGTTAAGTATATTTCCCCCAACATATTCGAAGGAAATGAACCCAAAATTCATTTTTTAAAGTACCCCTAGGCGACTTTGATCTCGCCACGGTTTCTTCAACGTTACTCAAAAACTGTTAAATATTTTTCAATTCTGATTTAACAGGCCAAACTGCCGTAGTCGATTACATATTGTCCCAAAAAATCAGACCGAAATTCCCACCGGGACTCGGGTTATGAAGTGAACAGACACACAGACGCACTTTGCGTGTTATAATAAGTAAGATTACTTGACTTGACTGGATCAATCAAATTGACAGATTAAAATGTTTTCATATCGAAAGTAAACGCACCTATGATATTCGTACGGGATCACACTTCTATCCGAGTCCAATCGATTCACATAAAGTGTCACGTTGCTTTCGCAATTTTCTTTTCTGTTTTGTTCCTCACAGAAATTAACTGGTGCCAATCCGGGAAGATAGAAACCGAAAGTGAAATGGATGAGAATGAGACTGAGAACTGCCCCTCGAGGCAGTCCCTTCCCACGCCAATTCATCTAAAATTCAAATTTAGGTTTGTTTTTATTAAGAGGAAAACAAGACAAGACAATTAACAAAAGACATTTCGTTCCAACTTTCTTAATGCACATGTACAGTTTTGTACAACGAAAAACGAGATTAGCATAATTAAATCAAATCAATTGCGTTGAATCAAAATTTTAAATAACGATGTATTTCTTCATTAAAAAATTAAAACGTGTGCATGTATAAGAACAAAGAAAATATGATTTTTGTGTTGGATTGGTTCATGTCGTGGCAGAGCATCCGCGCCGCTTCTCTCTTCATTTAACACCTGCCTTCTTGCAGAATACGGTAGATTTGCCATGAGAGCAACAAATAGCAGAAAATGTATGTTTGGGATTTGGGAAATAAAAAAGTAAAACAAGAAAACAAAGTAAGTGTGAATAAAATGAAAGAAAGGAAGAAGGATAAATGCGAAATGTTCACGTCTCAGTTAGGTCTTTCTTATTAGCACAGAATTAGGTATTAAACGATTTATTATTTGCAGCCAAATTATCAGGGAAAGTTAAGCTATCTTTAGTTTTTCATTTCCTTTTTTCTCCTTTTCCTCCAGATTTTTTATTTCTGGAGCTTTTGTGGTGATCGGTTGGAAGATTTTATCCCAATTTTTCTTTGCGTTATCGAAGAAATCTTTTAACGGATCGACCTTTTTCTCATCATCTGTTGATTTGTGAAAGGGTTTGCTGAAATTATTTTGAAATTTGTAAAATTCAACTAGAATTTTCGTTTGTTGGCTTAAAATGAAAGCTCCATTTTTCTTGAAAGTGAAACCCGATAAATAGGTTCAGGTTTTGGCTGTTCAGAAAGTCTTTTCGTTCCTTTTTCATAATTCCGTTGAAAAATAACAAATTCACCAGTAACCTATGGTTTACACTAAATAAAAAGTGTCTATTGTTCAATATCCCATCTTTTTAAGTCAATTTGGGTGATTTCATGATTTGATTTCAAAGTGATTTCAAGAAGATTCGACAGTGTTAAACTTGTTTTTCGTAAAAATCTTTAACACATTGACGACCGCGCTCTTTAATTTCTTTAACACAATAACCCAGAAATGAGACATTTTAAACCTGTTTTAATGTTATTTTGCAGAAAAATAATTGGGCTCATGAACACCGGTTCATTGGTGCATTTTTTGGTTTTAAACGGAAGTACGAAAAGGAACGAAAGACTTATTCACCAACCCAATAGATATTTTATAGATCTATAGATCTCTTTTATATTATAGATTTTATTGGACACAAAAAGTATCAACAAGAAACTAGTACGAAAAGGAACGAAAAGCCTTTCTGGGCAGCCTAATAGATCTTGATTTTTGATTCATGTATTTATAATTAATAGAATATTAATAAAATAAATAGAATATGCCTTTCTAGATAATCTTGGAAGAACATGAACTAAAGCCCTTTCTAACCCACTTCGATTTCCTTGTCCCCTCATTTTTTTTCCTTCAATTTTGCCCTATTCATTTCGATTGAATTGAGTGGGTACTCACTTCTGAGCTTTCTTTTGAACTTGCTTCTGTTGAGTTGTTTTCCTTTCTTTTTTCTTTTGTGTCTGCCTCCATTTCCTTCTTTCAGCCGGGCTCATTTTTCTTAGTTTTGCCTTCAGACGTTGAAGAGCTTTTCTAAATTTTATTTACAATACAATCCGTCCTGTTCATTAAATACCTTTTCTTGATTGCTCGTTGTTTTCTCTGCAATGGAGTCACCTTTGACTTATCGATAGAGCTAAAGTTCAGCGGTTCAACTAATACTAAGCTTCAACTAAGCCTAAGCCTAAGCTAACAATAAGCATTGGTGTTTGATAACACAGTTAGTGCCTGAAAAACTTGTAGTGCTCGTTTTAGTTCAACTTGTCTCTCAATGTATTGTGACTGCTTTAACACTTACAATCCGATTGGTGGGAAATCATTGTTTTCGGGAGAGTTTTCTTCATTTTCATCGCTCACAGCACTTTCATCATTTGATTCATCAGACGCAAATATTTCAGGAATTGTTCCCTCTTCCTCTTCTTTATCTTCTTCCTCTTCTTCATTTGCTCCTTCTTTAACTTTTGGGTTTTCCTCAACATTTGGTTGCTTTGTTGCTGCTGTTGTTGTTGAAAGAGCCAACTTATCCATCATTACCACTCCAAATTCTTTCTCTCGGAAATCTCGAATCATTGTCATCAACTTCAAATTGTATTCAGCATTCAAATCATTCAACCTAAAATAGTTTCTATTGGCTTTCTGAAATTTTGGAAAACTCTAAATAAATTTGATTTCAAAAAGTTCAGATTTTGAGGATTGGAAGAGGGAACATTTTGGCCCTTATTCATGAAAATCTCAAGGGAGCGTGAGATTCCTTCACTCTCTTTCACAATCACCCCCAAAAAATAACCACTAAAGGAGCTTCCAAGGATCACTTTTAAAAGATATCTAAGTTTTAGATATGGAAGTTTTAGAAAATCTTACTTCTTGCGTTTCTTCGGATCAGAAAGGATTCGAGAGAGGATCTCTTTATCATCAACCAATCCGTTCACTGTAGCTGTTGTGGGTAATGTTTTTGTTGATGAGTCGACTGTTGTCAAGTCACTGAATAAGGATTTTATAATATGTACATGCTTAAAATTAACCAGAAGTAAGAATTTTTCAATATTTAGATTTTGAATATATAGAAATATTCAAAATTTAAGACATCTTAAAACAAATCAACTTACGAATCATTATTCTCAGCCGGTTTAATCTTCTCTTCTGCCCAAATAACGCCTCTAAAAATAATCATTGCTATATTTATATTTAAGACTTACAGAAGTATAGTCACAAAAAATAGGAATCTCATGTTTAAGGTAGACAAAAGTGGTGAAATGCTACAGAATTCGCGGCGAGAAAATGGGAATGAACAGCTTTTCCCGGATCTCGAAGGGTGAGCCATAGAAATAAGGGAAAACCTGATTGAAACGGGTTTTCTCTATTCTTTTCTTTTCTTGATACATCCACTGACCTCTTCCCAATCCATAAAAAGACCTGCTTTGTCTTCGATTTTCGATCCTGACACTTTTGTGTTATAAGGTTGTGAATAGCGTGATGAGAAGTTGTGATTAGAATGACTAGATTCAGGGTTCTCAAATGTAGCAAAATAAATTGATGACACAAGGAGAAAATCAGCAGCTTGCTTTTTAATTTATTCTGTGCGTCTCGTGAAAACTGATTATGTGATAAAAGTATTCATTGATTGACAGAATGACTCGATCATCTTGCTTTGAATGTTTTAGCACATACTCTTAGAATATCAAATAGCCTTAGCACATACATATCAAATAGAAAATCATCACCTTGTAAGCTTGTGCTTTTTAATTTGTTCTCTGTTTATCTGTTTTATAACCTGTTTAACTATCTGTTTAATTGTTTAGTTAAACGAGTTTAATTTAATTTGAGTATGTATCTATGTTTATCAATTTTCTGAATTTCTTAGTATGTATGTTTATCAAAAGGAATCCGTAAAGATGAGATTCCACCTTAGAAAAGACAACCCCAACCCACCAGAATACAAGGGGGTGATTGTGGCTGAATTCTTCGTTTTTCACTCATTTCAACCCATATTCTCTTTTCTTTTCTTCAAGTATCTCCACGACAACCGTTTCACCCCGATCAGCTCCTCAGAAAATCTTATCTTTTCTTCTTGATTTGAGAATTCACGGGTTTCTCAATATATCCACCCATTTACCGCACGTGCCGACACTTTTTTTTCCCGTCCCATTTGATTTGAGGTTTCCGGCTTGAGTCAAAAGTTTTCCTTGTTATAAACTATCAAGGTAAAATTTTGGATACAATAAAGTTTGAAGACAAAAGTCTTTTTCGGAGTCTTTGTTGGAGTTTGTTTATTTGTCTTCAAAAATCTTTGTTTTTTGAGTCTTTTTTTTCTTCTTATCTTTATTTAAGTATAAGATTAAAAACTTAAAAATCAATACTTTAAAAACTCAATAGACATCCTTCTAGACTTTATGTAGATCCGCTTTCAGCCAATCAATATTGTCGTGACAATGGAACTTTCTAAGTGTCACATAGTGCGCGTAATGGTTTATTTGTTTTTTTCGGTCACTATTTTATCTAAGACTTATTGCTACAAAATAGTTTCCGAAAAAGATAGGGAATCAAATTTTAAGAGGAATTGTTGAAAGTGAGAAGATGAAGAAGCAGAAAGTGGAGGATGGAGAAAGATTGAGAAGGAACACCGTCAGCACCCATCCAATCATCTGAAGGAAGGGTCCTCCCTTTCTCTCCTTCTTCTCCTCCTCACCCCTCCTTTTTCTCCACATACATATATTCGGCTTCTTCAACTCTTCATCCTTTTCTACTTCTTCCTTGATTTGAGAGGGTCTCCCTATCGAGTACCGATTCACCCAATTTCCGCTCAATTTTACCCGCCTTTCAACAAATTCCCTTGACTGACTTCGTTAATCTTGCCTTTTTTTAGGAGATTTTGAATCGAAAGTTTAACTTTAGAATTAAATGAAAGTTCAATTCTAAGATTTAAACTTAGAAGGCCCAAAATGCTTTAAGATAGTTTGATAAATGTCTAATTTTTCTCTACTTAAAAGATTCTTTTGTTTCCAAAAACACTTCTTTTTACTCGACCTCCATTTGCGGCTATAAATTGTAATTCTTTCAATTCTTGAAGCAAAAACAAAGGTTTTCTCTAATCGTTTTGGGGTTCATCCAAAATGAATGGTTCTACATGTCTGTCTTTGTGTAAAGGAAAAGGGGAAATGGGGTCCCAAACTGAACAAAAAAACTGATTCAAAAAGCCTCATTGGCTCCTTTTTAGAATTTTTACCGTTTTAAGAAATAATGTAATGAGAAAATACAGCAAATATATTAAATACAGCGCTTTTAATCGATTTGAGTAATATCTCAACTTTGAATGGTATTTAAAAAGCCTTCCAAAGGACTAGTAAATTCTGTTCTCAAATCTTTTTTAGACTTGATTTGAATCATTTCAAAAATGTCATTGGAATTGAGGGTTTTCTCTTTTTGTTGCCAGAGGGTGTCAATTTAGAGTCGCCTTTTTCTTTCTTTTTTCATTTTCAAGAATTTCATTTCCTTTCTACTCCCATCTTTGACTCGTCAATTCGATTGGTTCTTGGGTGAAATTAATCCCATCCCACCCCGTTTTTTGTCGTTTCTTACTATTAGATCCTTTCGAATTTGCCTTCTTTACAAATAATTTGCCCAAAAAATTATTATTCCTGTTCATTGTTTGACAGCAAAGTTGTTGTTATCATAGACTTCCGTCGTGTATTCTCTTATAAAAGTAAGACAGAGCAGTCTAGCAATGTCTAGCAAAGCCGTCCAGAAAGTCTTTTCGTTCCTTTTTGTACTTCCGTTGAAAAATAACAACTTCCACAATTAACCTATGGTTTGCTCTAAATAAAAGTGTTTATTTTTCAATCTCTCATCTTTTTAAGTTCGATTTTAAGTGAAAATTCGATTCACTTTCAAGTGCAAATTCGAGAATGAAAACGTGTTTTTCGTAGAATCTATGTATAAAAAGCTCTACGAAGAAATTAACTGAATGAATTTCTCTGATAATTTGGCTATTTACTTAACTTTTGGTATTCTATCTTTTATCTATTGACATGAAGATTGGTTTCCTTAGCTAAAGTGTCTAAACCGCATTATCGAGCTGCCTTTTTGACTACCCGACTTCACCCTCCCAAAAAAATCCAAACATAAGACATTTTGAATCCGTTTTAATATTATTTTGCAGAAAACTAACTGGCCTTTCTAATGAAACAAACCGTAGTTTAATTGGTGCATTGGTTGGTTTCAAACGGAAGTACGAAAAGGAAAGACAAGACTTTCTGGAATAAAAAAATAAAAAATAAAAGAAAGAAATAAAAGTTAAAGCAATGTACAATGTGAAAGCAATTTTTCACCTTTTCGATCACTATGTTTGACTCAAAATAAGTCGAAAAACAATGGTTTCCCGATTTTCCGGATGAATGAGGGAGGGGCGATTGTCGGGGGGAGGAGACCCTTTCCCTGCCCTTCCCCTTCCCTCTCTTCTTTCATCCCGAACACCCCCCGGGGTCCAATTTGTTTTGTGAGACTTTTTTCATGATTTCCTCATGGCTTTGTTTGGATTTTTTTCTCTATTTCTATTCAACTAGTTCATGTTTTGGCTCTTATTTTACATGTTTCTGATTTTCTCCATTAAATATCTTTTTCTTTCTCTCTTTCCACAAACAAATGATGCCTTTTCAGCAAGTCAGGCGCGTTGAAAATTTGGTTTTTCTGCTTTTGTTCGTTTTTTGGCTCTCAAGTTTCAACTCTTGCAAATTTTCCTGTTGAATGGAATAGACGGCGTTTTTTTTTCGGGAGAGCGAAGAGATTTGTATGCGTTGTGCGTCGTAAATGTTTTCCAAGGTTTTTATATTTGTGTTTCTTTGAGAATTGCTCTATTCAATACTATTTACAGGACCTTATCTTTCAAAACTCCATCAACTTTCTACATCTTTTCCTGCTTTCTCAAATCTCCTTCCTATTGGTTTGTCTGCCAATGTTTATTGGAAAATTTTATGATGACGTAAAGAGGGTTGATCTGGATTAGCGATCCTAACCGCTTTCCTGAAAATTCGTCTATCTAGGCAGATCTGAGAAATCCATTGAAGTTTACAAACTAAACTAACAAAAGCATTTAAAGGTTATTTATATAAGCTGAGAACTTGATCCTCAAAAAAACTACTTCTAACTTTGGTTCTATTATCAAGGCTGCTCCAAAATGTTCAAACATATCTAGTCGGTCAATGCAGTATTTTGAGAGAAGTCTTTTAAACAAAGCCATCTTCCCCAATTCTCTTTTCTTTTTTCCTCCGGGTGTTTATCCGACCGGAAAGTGTGCCCGTTCTCTTCTTCTTTATTCTTCACTTCAATTCATTGAACTTTGATTTTTAGGAATACATATTTTCTGAATTCTAGAAAGTTTTCAGCTAATAGCGATAGATTCATTCCTATGGGATGATCTCATCATTGGCAATTCGGTTCAAATTTATTGCAGCTAACAAGGGAAAGGCACCGAGTCAAGCTGGTCTTCTGACTCGAGACCAAGTCGATCTTATAGAGTCGGCCATGGGAATCGAGAGCCCGTTTTTAGTTTTTGCAGAACGCTTCGCAAACGCGAAATATCTAAATTTTGGACTTCTTAAGAAGCCACCACACGCTTCCCTAACGACTGCTTCGGTGGTCCCGTGGATAGTCTGCTTGACTACCTAATCTACTACATTTTTGTCCCCAAGTTCGGGCCCCACTCTCGCCAAACTTTTTTGTTTTTTAAAAAACTGTTTCCCGACATATTTACAATGAATAATAGAGTTAATTTTATTTTTATGCGCCTTTAGCTTTCAGAAATGTGACAACTAATGTTGAATTTTTCAATACTTATCTATTGATTCTTATACTTTGGAAGGTTCCAGCTTTTGAAAATTGTTTGTTGAAGTTACAGAAAGTGGTGTATAAAACTGCAATAAACTCGGGTCAATAATTCAATGCAAATACGTAAGGAAACAGTTTAAGAAAGAAAAAAAAGTTTGGTGAGAGTGAGGGCAAAAAATGTACTAGGTTCGGTAGTCTAGCATAGTCTTATCCACTAGACCACCGAAGCAGTTCTTAGGGGAACGTGTGACGGCCTCAGAAGAAGCTCGAAATTCAAGGTGATTTTCTATGCCAAATATCTCGCGTTTGCGAAGCGTTCTGCAAAAACTAATTCTATTCCAGATCCCCATGACCGACTCTATAAGATGGACTTGGTTCCGAGTCAAAAGGCTAGCCTGGCTTTCCCTTGTAAGCATTGCACCTTCGGCTCGTTGTTTTGTAAACGAATCTAAACTAATATAAACATTCTTTTGGTGGAACTATTTCTATGTGCATCACAAGCATCCCTAATCCAAATTCTGCCAAAATTTCTTTCCTCAACTTTCTTACCATGAAATCATAAAACCTTTTTCTACGATATTGAGTCAACTTTCATGTTAATGGTCGTAAATCAAGACTTTTCTTTCTTTGCATTTTGCATTTGCAACTAAAAATGGGTAGTTTTGCCCTTTTCCTCTATAATTTGCAGCTGCTTCTCATAAGTTTTTCAGCTTTAAATGCCCTTGTTTCTAAGTGTCAACGCTTCTAATGCTTTCAGTTGGACACAAATTCAGAAAAGTCGGAAAAAATTGATGCCGTACGATGAGGAGCTCGTGCGCCTCAATAATGGAGATCCGAAGAATAACGAAAAGAAGAAAAAAGAAAATATGAGTGAGTTGAGAAATCGAGGAAAAAAAGCAGAGTTTTTGATTTGGCTAACGTGAACAAGAACTTTCAAATTGATTATATTCTACATACATGTTGTGAAATTAGCTCGCGTTTTATTTGCGCCTTTAGCACGTTTATCTCATTTTTTTTGATCCTTGTTTATCATTGGTGAAAAATTAAAAAGATACTTGGAATAAGGTTATGAGTTTTTTGAGTGACTAGAAAAAAGAAAGAGAAAAGGGGAATGAAACTTGATCCTTTTCTTTAATTTTATCGAGGACATATATTCCTTTTGGATGTTCAATGGGTTTAGCCCTTCAATCCACTCAACAAATAGATCGAAAAGCAGAAAATCGAGGTAAAAAAGACAAAAAAATCCTGAAAACCGCGTGATTGAGAAAAGTTAAAGCATGCTAACAAAGAATTCTTGTTACTGTTGAAATATGGATTTCTAAAAAGATTTAATCTCGTGCAATCAAAAAGTTAAGAAAGCATTTACAATCAGTAATACTTAGCATTAAACTTTTCAGATGGATGGAGAGGTCCATCAACATCGACCTCTCCACCACCAAAATTGAGAAAAGCTCGTTTGGTGGCCAAAGATGGGGAAACCCTTTTAAGCCTCATTCAATTACCACGACGATTTCAAATTTGTTACAGGTTAGATAATTCATCATTTTTGTTACATAATTTAGCACAAATCATGGTTACAGAAATTGGTTTCATTTGATCATCGAACAGGAATGGAGGACAATTCTCTTAATTTTTACATCCGGTTTTTTCTGCTCCTGGGCTTTTTTCGGCGTTCTATACTATGCGATTTCAGTTGTTGCGGTATTGAATCATCCATGGAAATAGAAAATTTTTTAGAGAACAATGCCTAGAGATGATTCCGAAATCGCTTATATAACACAAACTGGGTCGGTTGATGCTTCAAATGTTACGGTAAGGCTGAGATACCAAATTTTGATGAGGATTTAATTTCAGAAACCGAAAATATGTATCGAAAAAGTTTATACATTGGTAGATGCTCTATTGTTCAGTATGGAAAGTCAACATACTATTGGATACGGGTACAGGTGAGTGAAAAGAGCTGGAATTATCAGATTTCATCTAGCTCTTAACATCAAATCTCGCTTTGACACGTTATCGTTTCAGATATATGACAAATGAGTGTCCACCCGCTTACACTATATTAATGGTGCAATTGGTTGTCGGGTGTTTTCTTCAAACAATGCTTGCTGGAATTGTTGTGGCAAAAGTGTTAAGACCAAAGAAAAGAAAACAGGTGAGTGCAATAGTGCAAAAAAAAAGGCCATTTTGTTTGCCTTGGAAATTTGATTTTTTGGGGTTTTCCGCTACGCTGAATCGATTGGTAATAGTTTTCAGTAGCAAAAACAAGGATGTAAAGCTAAAAAATGCTTGTCTTCCTTAGCTTCTTCCTAGTATCAATAACTTTATCAAAGGCGTAATAATAAAGGAGCCAAACTAAAACAACGGATACTTTTTGGCAACCTCATCCCCGTAAAGGAACAACTGACTCCAAACGGATGCAATTGCTTGTGTGTGAACACCGTTTGCCGAGTTCTGTGAATGGTTCACTGTGTGATACACGTATCCAATGTTGGTCAGGTTATTATAGGCAAAAAAAAACAAAAAATAAGCATCTGAAACTATAACCAATCAATTCAGTGCAGCGGTAAACTCTAAAAAATTAAATTGCCAGAGGCAAAATAAAGCCACGCCCACTGCCCATCCTAGACCTGTATAGCCCCCAAAACTTTGTTCTTTATTAAAGTCCTTTAGGAAATTCGTTTCTCAAAGAGAGCCGTTGTTGGCCCAGTCGATGAACATGATCACCGACCAGCCTTGATGATTCGTTTGGCTGACATTCAACAAAATCTTTATCTTGCTGAAAGTCATGTCAGAATGTATATGGCATCATCAAGAATTAATAAAGTTGAGTTGACGTGGGAACTATTTTGACCAAAACTTTAGCATGGAGATCGAGAACTTGTTGGAGTGAAAGATATGAATGTTGGATATGATTCTGGATGGGATCGAGTACTTCTTTTATGGTAAATCTTTTTAAAGTAAAAGAAGTTTAGCGTAAAAAAATATAGGCCAATAATCATTCGACACATTATCGATGAAGAAAGCCCTCTTTTTGGATTAACAAAGGAAAGTCTTCAGGTGAACGAGGGAAAAATAAACGTATTGTTAATTGATTTCTTTAGGTTTCCAATTTCGAGTTAATAATGACAGTGGAAGGGATTGTTGAAGCAACGGGAATGACATTTCAAGCAAGGACATCATTTCAACCGGAGGAAATATTATGGGGGCACAGGTTTGGTCATTTTAAAAGAAAAAGAGTTTAAAATATTTTGGCTAGCGGCTTTTTCAAGTGAATAGCACCAACCTCTGTTTTTGATGTTAGTTCATTTTCAGATTCACTCCGATGATCCTTATGAATGAGAAAAATCAAAAATGGGAAGTTCACTACGGACTTTTTGATCAGGTACGTTAAACATATAAAAGTAATAGTAATCATACTTTTTAGAACAGATAGTTAAACTTCACAGTAAAACTACAGTTAAACTGCGATAGTCAAATTTGATTCTAGGTGGAACGATGTGGTGAGATCGATACGCCATGTAGATTAGCTGAAACAGAGGATTCTCATGATGAAGAAGATGAACATCACATGGTCAACAAATCTGGATTTATGTAGCAATATAGCCGTAAAAAAATAGTTTCTTTGTCGTTTCAATGAGTTCAAATCCAATTTTTTATCGACAATTTAACGAAAGACCCTTTAGCTTTGCTCATTTTTACTTTATTTTAGCCTTGAAGTGGTTAGCTTTTTTGTGTACATAATTAGGTTGCATTGTTTTTTACTAGTTTTACATTTAAGTAGTTTAAAAATGACCCCGGTGGTTCTAAATTGGTTCTTTGAAAAAATTTTGTCTTTTGTTAAAATCCCTAGTCATTCCCCGGTGAAATTCAAATTTGATATTTGATATAGGATATTTAATCAACAAGAACAAGCGCTTTACCTCGTTCCCGGTGGCTAAATTAGTGCATGCTTTGTGTTATTCTTGTTCTTGTTGTAAACTTGATACCTTTGTTCGATCAGTGCCATAAGGTTTTTGTGTGAAAAAGAGGAACCAAAAGAAGCAACGAATCTCAAAAGAGTCGGGTCTTGAATTGTCTCTTTTCCTTTTCTTATCCACTTCCCCACTTTCCTGTCAAGAAATGGCATCAGAGTGAAACCGGTGTTTTCCTCATTTTCTTCACTTTCCACTTGCAATTCCCTTTCGAGGTCGATGTTTCCTTTTCTTTTACTTATCCAACGACAAGCTAATAGGTCCGCGAATAAGTCTATCCGTTCTTTTTTGTACTTCCGTTGAAAAATAACAAATTAACCAATTAACCAATTAACCACGTCGTACTTCCAAGCCTAAGCCCAAGCAATACCCTTTACCACTAAATTCTTGTCAGTCAATCATTTTGCCACCGGGAATCTTCTTGAATTTTTCAAAAGATTCATAACGCTTCACTGACTACCTATGGGCATGAGATTTTAGAAAGTTAGCAAGATATTAAGAATTTCTTATTTTTATTGAAACTACATTTGCTAGCTAACATTAAATTTTGTAAATCTTGTAGATTTGTAGAAAAGACCAATCCAGTTTTAAACAAAAATCCCAGTATTCTCATCTTTATCCATTCCACCCACGGTCTCGGCCATTCATCTTTACAAAAGTTGTCATTCCTTTTCATTTTTCTTTTTTAAAATGAATTCTCTTTCAATTTTTCTCAAAACATCGACTTTTTTGAGATTCACAAAAGATAAGAAAAGACACTGGTTTTTTTCTAAATTTAATACTTCTGCCAAAAGTTTTTTCTTTTTATTGACCAGATGCGATTCAAAAAAATTGGTTCAAAAGCCAAACTCCGATGACGTGTTTTTCGTTTATTCTAGAGATACATATGTATGTGTTTGCGTGGATTCTTCAAATTTCCGGTGCATTTTCCTTTGATTCAATTCGAGTATTTTGTGTTCTTCATGATAGCAATACCTGATGAAAAAAGAAAGAAAGAGAAAAATAAATAATTAGTCAGTTTGTTTTTCGCAAAAAAAACATTTTTTGAAAACAGTCATGGCCAAGAATCGATCGAAGACTAAATGAATCGAAGACGATCGAAGACGAAGATCGTGCAAATGCAAATTTGCAATTCGATATGCACAAAATAAAAAATAAAATAAAATGTACCTTCGATATGCAATTCGATATGTAACAAATATACCTTTTATATACTAACTATAAACACACTGAAACGTCTCCAAGATTATAAGATATTCTTTCTTTTCAGTGTGTTTATAGTTAGTATATAAAAGGTTTTTTGCACAAACTATAAAAGGAAGATCAAGTCGTTCATCCAGAACGATACCGATCCGTCTTGCTAACGAAGATCGGTTGCTTTCTGGGGCAGTGAATGCCCTTCTCCAAAACTATGAAGCCTTTTGGGGGGTCATGGGCTATAACTCAACAAATAATGTTGATTATTGGTTCAACAAAGTATATGATATAATTGGCGTCTCTCCTTGTTTTTATAACTGATATGGTTTGTGTAGAAGTGCCAATTATTCGCATATACTTTGTTGTTCCAATAATCTATATAATCTCTCATTTTTCAACGGTGCGTTTCCTTTTCGGACATGTTGCTTTTATTAGTCTCGGTCATTTACTTCCAGTTTGATGAGTAGGAATGAATATCGAAACTTTAAAACATCGTTTCTATAAAGCTAAAATGTTCCTGTAAGCTTTGAGGCAATATTAAAAAGAAAAACAAGCACAAATATACAAATAAGATTTTCTCAAACCCCTTTAGGTTGAGCTTTTCTTTCTGTCTTTTCCTCAATAAAAATCTGCAGTTTTCGGGAGAAAGAAATGATTCGATCAACTAGAGGCAAAGTTTTGTGTTTTAACGTAAGATATAAGATTTGTAATTTGAATAAGTTTATAATGGAGACAGCAACGGATTCAAAAATGAATATGATTTCTCAGACCATTTCATGTAAAGGTGTCGGTTGAACGTTGCTCATATCCACGTAGCGCCACGAGTATGAGTAGAAAATCAGAAGAACAGAAGAAGTGCTTGAAGGAAGCAGAAACAGCCAAAGTATAACCTGAATTTGTTTGAACTTTCAGAGCCAAAGAAAACACTGTTCAAACCTCGCTAAACCCTGTGCATTGTCTTCAGAAAGGTTGCACTTGCAATCGGCACTTATTTTCTTTCTTTTACCGACTCATTTATTGTTACAGCGTAATTAATCGGTTCAAAAATTGTTTCAAAAATCAACCCAGAATCTACAGGGTGTCCGGAAAAAAAGTAGTCATCGGTTTGAGTCTGGAAAAATTTTCTTGTTGATTTTTCAAGGCTCGTTGTGGTGTCAAAAATGGTTTTGCCTCAGGCGTCACACAACAAGATGAAGTTGCTTTTTTGAAAATTTTACGAGTTTTGCTCATTTTTGGTTGCAGACCTGTTCGACAATTCAGTTTCCCCCAAGTTATTCATTAAAGTTTTTCATTGTTTAGTTTACAATATTTCCAAGCAAGTTTTGGAGACATTTCAAAGCTAATTTGAGAGAGCAAAAATTTGCGTTTTCCCAAAAACCCTTTAAACGCTGGCCATCTCAAAGTGAAACTTCGCCTCCTTTTTTTTAACTGCTTATGGCCTACGTTTTTTCTATTAAAACCCAGTTTTATTTGGACAGAAGTGCCGAAAATAGAAGACTTATGGTGCTGTCTTTACGATTCTCAGTGCTTTCTGTTACCTTAATAGCAAAACTCAAAGGCAAACTTCGAAAGGAGCTTTTCACCAATCGCAAAGAATTGACTTCAAATAGGCTGCGATGCAGGAAAAATGAACAAGAATTCAAAGAAAATTTAAAGAATAGCCTTTTCAATTTTAGAGAATTTAAAGAACCTTTCGGATCGATTTTGATAAATTTCCGTAAATTCTTCTCTCTTTGACTGTTGTTTCAGTGGTCTTTGGCTCAAAAAGGCACAACTCAAAAAAATTTACTTTGCTTTTACAATAAACACTGGTTTTTTAGCTGTTTTAACTAAAACCAACTGGACGAGAGCTTAATAGACAATAACTGAATAGTTTTTCTTTTCTTGAACACTTTTAAAAAATGAAAAATTCGTTTTTTCCTTTTAGGCCTTAGAGATCCTTCAAACCCACTCCGTTTCCCTATCAGGAAATAAAATTCGCTTTATTGAGTCTCTCAAAAAATTTTCCACTCAAATTCCAAAAAACCAAGTCGATTTGTGTACTCCTTTTGAATGAGTCATTTCCTTAATGTCTGTATTTTGCTTTTGCTTTTCGACAAAACAATTTTCGGTAAGAAGCTTGAGAAAAAGGAGAGACAACGACGAAAAAAAACAATTCAGCCGTTGAACAATGCGAGGCGCTGTTTGTTATCGATGGATCGAGTTATTATGTTTGTTTTTTGAGGTTTTTGCTTAATTTCTTTGCCTTCTTGATTTTTTGGTTCATCTAGAATTGACTGAAATTGTCTAGAAACGATGAGAATGGGCTGTATCAAACACGTGCTACTTAGTGAGCGATTCAAAAAGCTAGAGATATTAATTTCTGATCAGCAAGAACTCAAAAGGTTGCTTGTGCTTCTTCTTGATCACGCAAAAAGCCAGTGAATAATAAATGTTAAACGACAGAACCGTAGTAAAACAGAACGTACTTTTTCAGTTAACTTTTCGAGCCGAGATCACCGCAATCACCACTGCCGCCAGCGTGGCCTTTTCGAACACTCAATCGATATTCTTTGCGAATTATTGGGAGTACGGAGGAGGGGATGATGATGAGAAACTTCCAAATGATTTCTTGAAGAAAAATGATTTTCTCGATGGAGTACAAGGACTACAGAGTTATGGAGGAAGCGAGTCGATCGTCGGGTTGGCCGCCCTACTTTCCATTGTTTCAGTTTCTCTATAGCTAATCAATCCCCTTCTTTTTATGAATTACTTTTTTATTTGCGTTTCTAAATTCAACTCCTTTGATTAGTAAATTGATCGCGCTCTCTAAGCTTGAGTCTCTCGACGCGTGAGCTGGTTTTTAATAAAAGTATCAAATCGTGTGGCTATTTTTTACAAATTTGTTTTAAAGTTAACTTTTCTATGACTAAGAGCTCAAAATAATCTATTCAAAAAGCTTTTTCTTACGCGGTTTAACCAAAAAAAAAAGATTTTGGACCGATCTGTAGTTACCAGTGGTTGCTAAAAACTCTGTCAATAACTCGTAAACTCTCGATTTTAGAGCAACATCAAAGCTAAACCAATGGCAAATCGATACTGCTGTAATTGTCTTATATACGGCTAGGTGAAAGAAATTTAATCTACTTTCAAAAAAGAATCGTTTTTTAGCCCACAAAGTCTGATCACGATCGCCGGAACCAACTATACGGAACAAGGCAGAACGATTGTCGTTCACTCAAATGGTTAACTGGGAGAGGCAAAAACTAAACAGATTTCAAGTTCAGACGGTGTCGACATGAGCCCTCTCTCTAACTATCCAAGCCCCGGCATTAGCGAGTACACGGCCCTGGTCGAGTTGATCATCGGTGTTTGCAAGAATATGCCAACAAAGGTTTTTTTCGAGAAATTTGAACAGTTTTTTTAAACTTCTGTAGTTTTGCTGTAATAACTTGATGAAAGTAACCTGATGAAAGTAAACACTCAAACTTCTAGCCCACCATGCAGCCATCACCGACCACGCAAATTCCGGTTCTCCAGTGCCGTGCCCAGTTCTACATCGACGCCTCGGTTTTGGGAAAAGTTGCTCGTATTTCTTTTTCCCATAAAGACCGACAGAAACTGAAATAGTTGAATGTTATTCTTTGATCAAAAACTTTAGCCCACAGCACCGCAGCAAACGGCGCTGATCTCATCGGCGGCCACGCTTCTCTTCAATGGTTTGTCGGCCGGCGAGTTCTACTCGAATTGCAGCAACATCTTCGTCAACTGTTCCCTCAGCTTTCATGCTGCCATTGCATCGTATGGCGATGTGAATTTTGAAAAACTATAGCTAATAATAATATTTCTAGGCTACCAGTGTACCTCCGAATCCAAGCCAATTGATGGACAGTTTCACCGCTTTCAGCACAGCTCTCAATGCTCTCACTTTCAACTCTCCCGACAATCAGAATATTGTCGAGTAGGCTTAAAGTTTTCGAAACTCAAAAATGGAATGCATAAGGATAAGGATGATACCAATGTGTCATTGTGCCAAACAAAGCTAAAACGATTCCTTGCCTTGTTTAAATTTTCCCCTTTAGTGCAATCAATATCATCAATGGTAATGCAGAGTTTGCAAATGTGATTACAGTTTTGTTTACGAATAGGTAACAAAAAACTTCAGTTTGTCTTTCTTAACAGATTTTCTTTTAGCCCACAAGCTCTTATTGACAATATCACCGGAAATGCCTATCAAGATCGGACGCTTGGCTTTGGAATCTCGGGTTTCGTCAGAAGAATTAAATAAAACAATTTAAGTTTAGTAAATATTAAGTGATTCAATAGTTTTACAATTAAGTAGTGATCTTTTTTAGAAATTGGACTAATTTTTTGGTTAAGTACATAGCTTGATGAGAATATGAAAGTTGCATTGAATTTAACAAAAAATTTGGTGGCCCTATCCTTTTCTTGGCAGAATTTTGATATGGTAAGCTTAGATAGATACAAATTCTCTGTTTATTCGATTTCAAACACAACATTTTTCAGGTCAAAACATGTATCACATTGCGGATAGCACGATGAATCTGGGAAAGCCGCCGACCGAGCTGTCCGCGTTAATCAAAACCTATTGTGGATGGAGATTCTAATAGATTCTGTTGATAAACTTGGAACTTTTTAGACAGCAAGACACAAAAAATATAAATTTCTACCTATTACTTATTTTGACAGTTGATCAGTTTATTCTCAATTGCAACACATTTTAGAATTAGACTTGAACTGAATCGCTGGAACAGAAGCAAAAAAAATAAGCTCAAAAAGGAAAACATTTTGAAAGAATCAGAGTTTTTCGAGTGCCAAGAAGAGAATAAATGTAAAAAGCGGTTGCAGTAAAATAAAAGAAAGGAAGAGGAAAAACACGACGATAGTCTAGCCACTGGTGAGATCGCGAGAAAGGACAACGGATCCGTGGAACGCTTCGCTTTTTGCCACCAGATCACCGAGATATCCGTGTAGCTAAAAAACTTTTGCTTATGTCTGTGGTAATAGTAGCAATCTGGCATGTTCAGAAACAGCAGAAGCCAAATTCCAGTTTGGCCTTGAATTTGTAAGGGCGACCTGACTTTTGGCCGGGCTTGGCTTTTTTGGTTTGGAACTTCCATAACCATGAACTAACCATCAACCAAACTTTCCAAAACTTTGTTTCAAGAAAAAGAAGATCTGGACACCCCGTCAAGCTGTGCAAATTGAAATTTAAAAAATTCCTGAGCAATTCGATGACAAACGTCTAATAGTCATTTTTCGATGACAGTGTGACAAATGATGTTTCGATTTTTGTTGAAGAATGAAGATGCAGTACACATTTTTGACTCTCACGGCATTGCCCTGATATAGAGCCTATGTTCGCATCAAAACAGGGTATAAAATGCTTCTCCATGACCGATTTGTGCTCCCTGAGAGCCAAGGGTCAAAGGACAAACGCTAGCGGTTGACCCGGCACACTTCGGCTCCAAAAGGAAAGAAAGGATAAAAAGTCAAAATTGAGGCAAACTTTTACTCCATAAAATCAGAATTTAACCGTTGGTTTGAGCTTATATCGCTGTCCAATTAATTTGACTTATTTCAGTGCAAATCTAAGTCAAATGAGCCTTACCACAAATTTTATAGCTAAATTTTTCTTGGAATCTTTTTTTATTGTTCTTTCAATCAACAACAATTGTAGACGGTGACGGGAAAAATTGGTCATAAACAACAATCGATTGTACAAGTCATGGCCTCCTGGGTTCATTTGTTTGACTTTTCAGTTTTGACTCGGTGCAAAAAGCTCCTATCTCCAATCTTTATTTGTGTAAGAAAACCAACAAGATTCCCATTTCTTTTAAGTGATTACCGGAAAAGCTATCGATTTTCGACCACTGCAACTATTGAATTTGAGCTCTTGACGCTATTCTTTTTGTTTTTGCTCTGGACGTTATTCATTTCGGCAAGTGATCATTGTTACTCTGTGTGAACTGTTAGTTTTAATCTTTGAGAAAAATAACTCCTTGATATTTTCTTTACAGGACAAATGACGAGTGAAAAGAAAGCCGTTTTCGACAATCTTCCATTGGAGCTGAAAGCTCAAGTTCACAAAAAGCTAGACGTTGATCAAACAGTCAAATGGCTTCAAGTGAATCGCCAACTTCGCAAGATTTCCCTTTCTCAAGCTCTATTCGATGTAAAAGTCGACGAAATCGTCGTTTATATCTACTTCAACTGGCGTCGAGCTCTCCACGTTGAAGAGCCTAGGTTTTTCCTTAAAAAACACCAAAATTCCGCGAAGAAAATGTTTGATGGAGACCACTGGAGATCGTTGTTCAAAAAGATTCGTTTCACGAGAAATTTCATAGTCAAAGTGCTTTCAATTGCTGAGACAACCCGTCCAATAATCGATATTCGAAGTTTTTCCATTAGAGAAACTTTCAAGAATTTTCTGTTTTCTGATAATCTGACAGTACATGCGGACAGCATTTCCCTTCTCAAAGTTATCTATGAAGATTTTTACGTGGTGGCTCCAGAAAATGTTTTATTAAAGCTGTCGAACAGTGTAAACGAAGGAGAATTCAGGGGAAAACTTTTCAGAGAGCAAACCTGTGAAAAGCTGTCGATTCACGATGCCCAATCAGCTCTCGTTATTCTAAGCGTTCCGATAGAAGCGAAAAAAGTTGAAATCGATTTTTTGGGCGACGGAATCGCCGAAGTAGCGGAGGAACGAGAAATCATTCACTCACTTTTACAGTACGGAGTTGCGTCTCCTAAAACGCAGAGTGTGATCTTTAAGGGGAAAAATCTAGGGGTACATTCTGGCGAATGCAAAGAGCTTTTGAAGAGTATTACGGAAAAAGAAAAAATCACTGATATCGAAGAAATTCTTCGATTTGTTGAGAAGATTTCGAGCTATCCGATCGATCGTTACACTCTCGAATATGTCGATCACAGCAACGGACCAAATACTATTTTTTGGGAGTGTTACAGTCGAAGAGTCGACGATCGCAAGAAAATCACCGTCTTCTTCGCCTATTTCTCGGCTTTTCCCAAGATCTATTTGGAGCAAGAGTTTTTTGATTAGACAGAGCTCAGTTGTGGTTGTGTCTTTCGAATACTTTCTTAACTTGTGAATAGCAGTTTTCCATTTAAAAATATTGTAATAAAACAAAGTTAAAGGAATAATTGGCCTAGAATGCAATTGGTTTTGTTGCAATTAGTTTTGTCGTGTTTGCAATTGGTGTAATTGGTTTTGTCGTGTTTTTTGTTGTTTTGGAATCGATAAAGAGATGGAAAATCATTACTAGAAAAAGCAGAGACTTTGAGATTCCTTTGCAAAGTCTTGTTTTCAGCGATTAAATGTTTTTATTAAAAATTGAAAGTCACAAAATAAAATCTAAATGGGCAAAAGAAACAGCCAACACAATCATTAATTTAGCCAACACAATCAACGACCTAACGTCACAGACGGTACACTGTTTGGAACCCCGCTCGGATAGACAGGCCCACCATTTTGCACGGGTTGTGTTCCGATTGGCGGCGAGGCACCCACTGATGGCATTTGAGCTGCCAAAGGGTCCACGGCTTCGGTCATCTAGACGACACAGTTAGTTTTGTAAAATATTTTCAAGCTAGAACTTTCAAAGCTATATCTTCAAAATAAAAATGTCACCAGCAAACCGTGATGCTCCTCGCTCGAAGAGCTCGAACTGCTGCTTCTTTTGTGTCTAGGAGAGAACCTGGAATGACAACATGCTTGGAATTTAAGAGAAAAGTGTAACGAAGCTGATAGATTTTCGTTTTCTCTTTCAGAATGCTATCGATAAGCGGATCAAATTTTCTGTTACTTCTTTGAAGTTGAGTTACGTTTATTAAAATTGTGGCACTAACCCAAAGACACTGCTCACGAGAAGAACACAAAATAGGATAGCGAAACGCATTTACAAAAAGTCAAAATTGAAAAAATAAGTTCTCATACAGTGTTTGAGTGTATTTAAGTCTAGTCAACAGTTTTAGTAAATTGTTTTTGATAAACATTCGATCAAAACATCGATTCAAGGACGTCGGTGAAAAGTGAGAGAGAGTAACGAGTCGCTCAACTGATTTGAGGGATGATTTTTAGTTAGTTAATAACATTTTTTCGTCAAACCAGCTAGAATAAATAACTACGTAGGCTATTAAAAGACAAATTCCATGTTTTTCAACTTAAGCACATGATGAACATAAGAAACTGTGGGATGTGAAATTAATGTAGTGAAATGTAGTGATGGAATGTATGGAATCTATGGAATATAGTGAAATTAAGAGAGTTCAAAGTTCCGAAACTGTAAATAAAAACACGAGTAACACTGCTAAACCAGCTTAACGTAACTATTATTGGGACTTTTCAAATTGGAAACTTTTACTTACAAGTCAAGAAACTCTAGTGTCTCGCTAAACCTGAATCTGAAAAAGTAATTAAACATAATAATTGAGCTAAAAGAGGATTCAATGCGAGCAAAACACCTGTCGAATTTGTCAAAACTTTTTTCTCGACGGCTACACGGGCTTCTACTCGTCCTCGCCGTTTCCCGATCCATCTTTACTTTACCATTGTGGATGTGTTTAGTTTATTTACTAGTCAAATCTTTTCTCAAAGCACAAGCTTCTACAGCCTTCTACATCATTTCGATTGCCTACATGGTGTTCGCCTATTCGCTAACAGTCTACTATCGTCTCACTACCAGTTTACCAGCTCATCTGGTTTGAGTTTTGATTGAAAAAACTGCAAATTAAAGTTAATTTTTCTGATAAAAAGGTAAAACTTAGATGGATATGATGGATTCCGAAGCTATTGACACGACTCTCGAAAAAACCTTTGATTTTTTCCAAGAGAAGTTTCGGAGGTGGCTCACTTATGACGTGGGCTGCATTTCATCCAACGGAACGTTCTCCCTTCAGTTTATCACTTCTCGAATGAATAGCCAGGATTATCAGCATGTGCTAGACAAAGATATTGCTCCATTTTTTTGCCTCAAATTTCGCTCATGGTTTCTGTCTCTTACAGGATAATGCGAGCATTCATGCTAGCGCGTCGACAAAACTCTATCTGGCCCTGAAGAACATCCCAATTATTGAGTGGCCCGCCTGTTCCCGTGATTTGAACCCCATCGAGAACCTCTGGGGTGTTTTGGCTCGACGAGTGTATGCAAATGGAATACAGTTTGCTAAGGTAGGTAAACTTCGGAACGCACTTGAACACGAATGGGCTAATTTGCGACTCACTTTGCTTCAAAAACTAGCAGCTTCATTCGAGAATTTTTGAACTTATTGGAAAGAAAGGCAAAAAAAATTAACTTTTGGAACATTTTTTTTGTTTACCATTGTTACTTAATTATGAATTCTGTTAAAGGTATCTCGACTGTTGGGACGGCCTCTGTTAAAGTTTACCTTTTTAAAGCCTGTTAGTTTTGTCTACAATCATAGAAATTGTATATATCCAGATTTTCAAATTTCCTTCATCTGATATGATCAAACATTCACCGCTTGTTTTCAGAAATCCCGAGATTCACAAAAAAATGGGGGTGTCTCAACTTTTGGGACGCACTATACGACTGGACCGATCGGTTTCTTTGCGATGCCCGTCACCTACGTTGATTACATCAAGAACGTCACAAAAATTCTCTGCGATAGTTTGTATAACTTCTTTCGCGATGGGGCAATCGACGTGTCACTTTTGCGAAAGCGTATCGTCTTTCATGTGCCAAATCATCTCCAAGATTTTAATGTTTTCTTCATTGATTCCATCCTCTTGTGGGGTTTTGTCGACGACGACAACGGTTTGAGGTAAATTCCCGAATATTCATTGGCATATGCCTTTTTGTAAGTTTGATATTTTTCAATGGCTTCAACTTCATTCATGGCACCAGTGAATAGATTGTCAACATAGATGCTGTGTCAACAAACCAAGATAAGAATCCCGTCTGGGCCTGTCCCTGTCCGCCCCCACTCAATCAGGGAAATTATGTGGCTAGTTGTGGGAGATCACTTTGAAATTGGATGATGAAATTTAAATTTCTGACAGTTTTGGAACGCAGTTAGAGCTTTCTGTTTTTATGTGATTTTTAAGCTTTCCCTTTTGTATTTGGAATGAAGTCACGGTAGATCTCGAACACAATTAGAACAGTCGCACTAATTTTTAGCGATGAAAAAGGTGAGAAGCTTTTTAAACACAAATCGCACACTTGCACGCAAAAACAATACTATTTGTGTGCATTTCATTCGGTAGCATTGAGAAAAATTATGAATAAACAAATAGCACAATTTTTGAAATTAGAGGGAAAACAAGGAGCGAAGTTTTCGGGACAAAAACAGCGACGCCTTTTGTTAAAATCCCTAGTCTTTCCCCGGTGAAACTCAAAGGATCTATTTATAGGATGTTTGATCAACAAGAACAAGAGGCTTACCTCGTTCCCGGTGGCTAAATTAGTGCATGACTGTGTTATTCTTGTTCTTGTTGCAAACTTGATACCTTTGTTCGATCAGTGCCACAAGCTTTTTGTGTGAAAAGAGGAACCAAAAGAAGCAACGAATCTCAAAAGAGTCGAGTCTTGAATAGTCTCTTTTCCTTTTCTTATCCACTCCCCCACTTTCCCGTCAAGAAATGGCATCAGAGTGAAACCTGTGCTTTCCTCATTTTCTTCACTTTCCACTTGCAATTCCCTTTCGAGGTCGATGTTTCCTTTTCTTTTACTTATCCAACGACAAGCTAATAGGTCCGTGAATAAGTCTATTCGTTCCTTTTTGTACTTCTGTTGAAAAATAACACATTCACCAATTAACCTATGCTTTGCTCTAAATAAAAAGTATTGATTGTTCGGTTTTCCATCTTTTTAAGTCAATTTGGGTTCACTTTTAAGCAAATTGGAGAGGGAAAACGTGTTTTTCGTAAAAAGCTATAAAAACCTCGAAGAAATTGGCTGAATCAATTTCTCTGATAATTTGGCTATATAACTAACTCTTTGTGTTCTATCTTTTATCTATTGACATGAAGATAGGTTTCCTTAGCTAAAATGTTTAAACCGCATCATCGAGCCATCGCCCTTTTTGACTAATCGACTTCACGCTCCCAAAAAATCCAGACATTAGACATTTTAAACTTGTTTTAATGTTGTTTTTGTTGAAAAATAATTGGCCTTTCTAATGAAACAAACCGTAGTTTAATTGGTGCATTTGTTGGTTTTAAACGGAAGTACGAAAAGGAACGAAAATCCTCTCTGGACAGCCTAATATAACTAAAAGTTTCGAAACATACATATGTACATATATCGAAGATCAAAGTAAATCTTCGAAATAATCTCTTCAACTCTACTTAATTACTATTTGGAATAATATATCGGACTGATTTCGGTCACTTCTTCAAGCCTCATTTTCTTTCCTTTGTACCACGCCATACTTTCAATCAATACCCTTTATCACTAAATTCTTGTCTGTCAATCATTTTGCCACTGGGAATCTTCTTGAATTTTTCAAAAGATTGATAACGATCAATACACTGACTACCCATTAGCATGAGATTTTAGAAAGTTAGCAAGATTAAGAATTTCTTTAAAGATTAAGAATTTTTATTGAAACTATATTCGCTAGCCAAAATTGACTTTTGTAGAAAAATGTAGAAATGTTAATTTTTGTAGATTTGTAGAAAAGACCAATCGAGTTTTAAACAAAAATCCCAGTATTCTCATCTTTATCCATTCCACCCACAGTCTTAGCCATTCATCTTTACAAAAATTGTCATTCCTTTTCATTTTTCTTTTTTAAAATAATTCTCTTGGTTGCTTGGAGCGAAAATTCTTTGCCCAGGACTTTTCCAAGCAATTTTTTTTCAAAACATCGACTTTTTGAGATTCACAAAAGATAAGAAAAGGCACTGATTTTTTCCTGAATTTAATACTTCTGCCAAAAGTTTTTCCTTTTGATTGAACAGATGCGATTCAAAAAAATTGGCTTAAAAGCCAAACTCCGATGACGTGTTTTTCGTTTATTCTAGAGATACTTAGAGTATTTGTTTGCGTGAATTCTTCAAATTTCCGGTGCATTTTCCTTTGATTCAATTCGAGTATTTTGTGTTCTTCATGATAGCAATACCTGATGAAAAAAAAGAAAGAGAAAAATAAATAATTAGTCATTTTGGTTTTCGCAGAAAAGACGTTTTTTGAAAACCGTCATAGCCAAGAATCGATCGAAGAATAAAGCAAACATTAGTTCGCTTTTGATTTTTGATTATAAGTTTATTTCTGGCTATCCTCTAAAAGATTTTGAAAATAGTTTTTACTTCTCTATAGGCTGCGTAATTTTCAAAAAACTAAACGGAAAACGTTTAATGTGGTCGTTTTTGTGAATTTCAAAAGTTGAAGGTTTGAGTTCTTTTGTTAAAATTCCCATGTTACATAGTGGCTTAATGGAAATTTGTTGTTTCCTATTCTTACATAGCTTAAACCAACGAAATCAAAGAAATTGTATGTATGTTCAAATCTTCGCAAGCTATCAATTACCGCTGGAAAATCTTTTCGAAAAAACAAGTTTCCATGACGACAGATTGTCAATTTTGGATAATAGTTAGAGTTGGAGTGTTTTCCTCGAGATTAATGCGCTTCCTAAAGCGTACGCTTCAAAAAGGCTATCGCAGTTGTGTAAATCTGTTTATATGCGAATTTAAGCTTTTCATTCATTATTTGCAGGTGTTTTTCTTAGTAGTGCGAAGTATCTGCACTTTTCTAACATTCTTGTCAAATATTTTTCGGATTTAGAATTTAGAATTTAGAAGAGATAAACTATTTACAGTCAGTATAATGTCTTAGGTAAATACTTATTTAGAATAAAATAATCACAGCCATTTTTGGACCAGAAGTTAATCTAAAATGAAAGTTATTCAATTGAAAAGAAAGAGTAAAAGAAAGAAACATAGAAAAAACGATCTAATAGTAAGAAGCGTTGAGAAAGAATTAATGTGAAAAACGTTAAGGCGCTCCCTATATAATGCGATTCATATGTAAAAGCTATTCAGTCCATCTAATTTGCGATTTGCTAATTTGTTTAATTGACCCATTAATTGAGACAAATCTTGATTAATTGACCTTTAATCGATTAAAAATTTGTTTTTCCAAATCTATTCAATTAATAAATAATTAATTGAATAGAATCACGAGGAAAAGACTCTAGTTAGAATGGTTCTTGTAAAAATTGCACATGAATAGGCGTCTATTAAACTTGCTCGAATAACTTGATAATTTCACATAAGACTCTAAACTTTTGTCTTCTAGTTAAAATCTTCACTTCAATTTCCACCCTCTATTGTGATCCTAAAAACCGCTCTTTCAACTGTATATCTGTTTGTTATGGATGGCGGCCAAGTTGAACCCTTTCTGCTCTTTTTTGTTCTTTCCCTTTTCACCTCAAGGGCATCACTCGCTTTTACAAAAAAAGCCTCAGAAAGAAATCTATCTTTTGGTTTTCTCTTTCTCACCAGTTTCCCCTTTCTTTTTCTTCCAGCCTTTTATCTTTTAAAACCATTTTCTTGGCAATATTAATTCATTCGATCTTTAATCGTAAATAGTAAATGGCTTGTAGTGCGGATGTTTCTTTTTATTTTAAAGAATAAGGTTGCTAGAGGCACTTCAATTTTAGTTAACCTTGGTTTTGAGACTTTTTTGAGACCATTTTCAGTTTACAATAAACCGCAAATAATTCAAAAAATGTTTAGGCCAAATGGGTATTTGGGATCCAAGTCTCTGGCTACCAAAAGAGGTCACATGGGAGACTTTGGAAAGTACAGAAACTGTCCTTTATCCAGCATCAAGAGATGTCTACATTGCAATGGGTATTGGAGTGATTCTTGTGGTAAGTACTAACTATAAGAAAGGAAAATAAATGAACTGAAACTTGTACCAATTCAAAGCTCAAGAAATAATTTGCAAATAAACCAATTATATTAGTTATAGCACAAAATGTAAATATCTATCTTAATATGAATTCATCAATTTCAGTGTTTCCGCATCCTGCTCGAATCCTATGTTTTCGTTCCAATTGGCTGGTATTTCGGGTGGATCAAGCAACCCCTTCAAGAGAGAATACAAAGTAAGCGAAAATTTCATCCGATGCGGAGTCGGGTACCAGGAAAACGGATAAGAGCCCAAATCCTTTTCAGCACATTTGCGTGGTGGCTTCATGGGTAAATCACGTTTGAAACGGGTCTCTGAGTGTGGATGGAGATTTTTTATGTTCATCTCAATGTTCACTGCGGGGTAAATACCTATGCTAAAGTACAATGCCAAAGGAGTCTGTTTTCAGATATTTTGTTCTTCGAGATCAACCACAATTCTACGACGTGACCGAGTGTTGGAAGAATTGGCCATCTCATCATTTACCCACCAAAGTCTATTGGTATTACACGATTGAAACGGCATTTTACTGGTCTCTACTTTTTGGGTGAGTCATAATTTGATTATATTCTAATATCTTCTTCTTGAATGTAAAATCTAATCCGATAATGACTTTAAGATTTGCCCATGTAATATCATAATCAAAATACACTTGAGAAAAGTCAAATATACAAAAACAAGATTTTGTAGGAATCTCTGTAGAGTACATGGAGTGTTCATGCAGGAGTCTCTGTAGAGTACATGGAGACGTCGGTTGATTCCTAGTAAAAAGTCCTATTTAGGCATCTTTTCTTCGATGTGAGACGACACGATTTCCTTCAAATGCTCATTCATCACACTGTCACTCTTGGCCTTCTTTATATTAGTTGGACAATGAATATGGTTCGTGTGGGAACATTGATTCTCTTCAGTCATGATGCTGCTGATATCTTCTTGTGAGTTGATGAGGATTCAATGAGAATTCTAGTTTGGTTTTTGCTAAAGCAAAATCATTTTCAGGGAATTGGGAAAACTTTTCCGATATGCAAATTGGCAATCATTATTGACGGCGGATTTCATCGTTCTTCTTATTGTTTGGTTGGCAACTCGTCTCTACTACTATCCATTTTGGATTATCCGGAGCATTGTTTTTGATGCTCCTCAATTAATCCAGGTAAATGAACTCAACAATCAGTCAACTCACATAAATTTAATCAGTCGAGTGTTACTTTTCAGCTTTTACGTGAGGTGAATTTTTTGTGGGAGGTAATTGGGATTTTAAGTTCTGATCCTAAAGAAAAGCATTGAGTATCACTTTTCCCAATAGCACAAGCACACGTTTTCGGTATTCGAATGTTGAGTTACTCATTTTTATTCGAACTGTTTAGCACAAAATGCCAAGATTTTCAGTCAGATTACTCGTGGGCCAACCTCACTCAAAAACCGATCGTTCCTCGTGTTTTGATGGTGATGCTATGTACACTACTCGTACTTCACTGTTTCTGGACATATATTCTCTTCAGAAGTTTGTTCCAAATATTGTAGAAGAAAGCTGACTGCGCTCAATACAAAAAACTTAAAAATATAAAATGCCTATAGGGTTCATTCGTTTCTAAAAATCATAGTGCATTCCTTTCAGTTGGCTACCAAGCAGCGACAACGCCAGTAGGTGTCGATGATATTCGAGAAGAATCAGAAACTGATTCTGAAGATGAGGGACCAGCTAAGAAAAAAGAAAACTAGAAGAAGTTCTTGTGTTCCGAAAGTAATATTCCTTTAACCTGTTGCATTTTCAAAGGGTAAAGCATTTCTCAAGATGTTCTGTGATTTTTTCCTTGCCATCTTTTCTTGTCAACTCAAATCTAAGTAAGTGTCTTTGCAAATTTTAGATATAAACTATTCCAAACTTATCAGACCCAACTTTATTACACAATCAAATCTTTGATAAAGATATGTCAAAATCAATCACAAACACATGACTTTTTGTTACTAAAGTATTTTAGCGACTAATTATCAGCCTAAAGCCAAAATACTATCTAGCATCATTGAATAGGAGAAAAACATAATCGACCGGTATAATTGAATAGCTACCCCTAAAATCTCACCTTCAACACATGTGCAAATAATATCCTAATGAGAGATTTGAAGTGCAAAAGAAAAAATAACACAAACTGACAAACTAATAACTAAATAATAACACAATTTGACAAGTACCAAAATATAAAAATGCTGCTTCTTTTTGATTAATGGAGAAATTGTTGTGATTGGTCGATTCGATTTTTTACGAAGTACGCTAATGACTAGTTTAATTAGATTTAGTTAATCGAAAAGAACCAAGCCACCATAATTCATCTTACTACTAGACACAAAAACCACAAAGCTACCTATGGCGATTGTGCTCCTTCAATGAACAGGTGCGCTTCTTGTCTCGGCTCATACGCGCCAACGTTCGATTCGACTTCTCCATCTTTCTTGCTAGCAGCGAGTTTCGTTGTCATCTCCTGACCTATTGAAGCCTCCTAAAGTAACTTTATTACGATTACCATAATACACAACCAAGCAGCAATGTTTTTAAGGCTTGCAGAATGAAAAATAAAGTGTTAAGCATTTAATTGTAACTTAAAAATCACTCAATATACAAATCCCATATCGTTGAGTGTTTTGCTGAAATTCGGAGTAAAACGAGTTTCAATTAAATTCTATCCTGGAACATCTCTAATTAGTAGTGATAGTATACAAAGTTGCGTGAAATATTCACCTAGTTACAAGTAAAACTTTTTGCAACTTTGTTCACCATATAACCTTTTAAGCTAATAAACGAACTTCTTTCTTTTTCTTCAGCTTTTTTATTGTTAGATGAACGGCAGCTCCTAACATCAATGGTCCAGGTGTGAAACAAGCAACAATCACGGGAATGAGCGCTGAAATATCCGCATCTGGCTCTGGGAACGACCACTAAATGTAGTAATCTTTATGTATATTCATTGAAAAATCGTCGGGAAAAATTCGTTGCTTAGTGTACATTAATAAGTTTTACAGAGCTTAAGTGCTGCTAAGAAACATTATATTTAAAGGCTGTTAAATTTAAAAGATTAAACTATCAGTGATCCTCTATAAAAACACCTTGAGTAGAAGAATAGCAATTCCTGTATTTTGTATTCCTGTTTCAATTGCTATTGCTGTCACATCATAGGGGGTTCTTCCAAGTCCAATTGCAATAAAGCACCCACACATGAAACCGCACCAAGGAAGAAGTAAACCACCTATAATTATACAATCAATAGTGGAGTCAGCTAATAACTTTAAGTGACTGAGAAGTTTTAGAAACTCTACACATTTAAAATAAAACCCACCCAATAAGGCTTTTCCTGTCATAAGTTGCCACATGTAAGTGTTTGTCAGACATCCAAAGACAATCACAAAAATTAAAACGAAAATTATAAAAGGGCGCAATACCTAAAAACATAAATGATAAATCGTCTTATGTCAAAACAACCTTGCGTCCTTTTGCTGCCCAATTCGGTTTCCATTTGGCAATAGCAATCCCAATTAAAAGGGGCACAACCAGTGAGAATAGTGAAGATAAAATTTTGCTGTACGGTACTTTTATTCGTGCAGTTGACCCAAATCCTCGCAAAAATTCGTGTCCGAGTAGCGAAAGCCAAAGTGGCATCATTACTGAACACAAAAAATATCATAAAGGCATGACAACAAACCTAGACTCGCCAAGGTGCTAATGAATGTCATTGTAACCGATAAGTTCATATTTCCATCAAGAAGAAGAGTCCAAAAATTGCTAGCTCCGCCACCAGGTGAACATCCTGTAACAAACAGTCCGAGAGCGAACGAATGAAGTCCAGATGGAGTGAACACCGTGTGTGATATAGCATACGCTAACTAAAATAAGCAATAAACAGACTCAAGAATGGTTTGCAACTGTTTTCCCATTGTCACTTTTCATAAATAGGTTCTATTTTAAAAACGTACTTTAACTGTGATACATAAAAACATACCAGCGGCATCACAATAAATTGCGTAAAGAATCCAATAGCTGGACCAATTGGACGTTTCAGAACCTCCGTCACGACGCTTAGGTCCAACTAAAGGGAAAAAAACTTCAACTTTCGAAATTCAACAAACCTCACAACCCATCAAAATGTTTGCAATAGAAATCACAACCACAAGGCTTCCAACAAAGATTTTCGTCAAGAATACGCTGTCGTCACTGCGTCTAACAGCAATTTCCATCGTGTTGAAAGTGTCATCCTAGAAAATTTACCAATTACATGATATCCAAAAAAGCTTTTACTGCAATCCTTGTTGATGGTCCCTCATCCCAATTTGCAAGCACAAGTCGAGCTTTTACGCCGGTTTTGCCAAGAAAATGTCCATGAATGGTGAATGTGGTCTGAATTCACAAGATAAACATTAAAAACCATCGTAAAAATACCTCCAATGAGTAGTATCGAGTCATGTTATTAAAGGCAAAGTCCTTCTTCAAAAATTGTCTACTCTCATCGCCAATGGAAGCAATCTCTTCGTGAAACGTACTAAAATATGATACACCTGTTATAGAGACAAAAGTTTTAATTATTTAAACAAAACCTATCTTTTTTTAAAAAATAAACCACTTTTCACACCCCGCATGTTTAACAAATGAATTTTTACTCACAATGCCTAATAAAGCTTAAACTTCTACGAAAACAGGTTTAAGTATGAGCCAACCTTATTTGCAAATTGTAAGGACCGTCGAGCTTTTGTTGTTGTTGAAAAAATTCTTCATTTACGTCAATCCGTAGCCCAACTGTTTGATTCATTCCTTCTGCCAAGTCGTTAATTGATGTCGGGTGATAGTTGAAAACGGGAATCACAGAGGAGGCCGCCGAAGCAATAACCTAAAAGACTCAACGAATGACATCTTTGATACAATGATAGAATAGCTCAATTAAATTGTGTTAATAAAAACCTAATGCCTACGATTTAGGTAAAGGATTTAGGCTTTTACTCAAACGATCTTACCTGAGAGAGAAGTCGAAGAAGCAGTAGCATTGGACAGCATCTTCTCCCTATTTTCGTGCCCGCCATGCCCAACGTTCTCGGTAAAAACCTGAAAAACACACTTAAGTAATTAAAAACAGCTAAAAACACAATAGTTAAACAAATTCGTCAGTAAATTCATACCTAAGGGCTATCAAAATAATCAAGAGGGTTATCAAAATAATGAAGAGCGTTTTGCAAAACTTCCAATTTTATAAGCTAAGTGAGCTGAACAAATATGAAAGTGAGCAATTTGTGGGCGTTATAGGAGAAAATTCCATGGTTAGCAAACAATCGAACTTTTTCGTCTCCATTTAGACACTGTGGTCAAAAACTGTATCTAACGTAAATCATTGGCAAAAAAGGAAACCCTACACCAAACATCTTTTTAGGTACACGATTACTACGATTCTAAGCAACTTTTTTATTATATAAAAATGTGAGCCACTAAACCACGCAACTCTTTGGCTGAATACCTTAAAATTGTTGGCGAGTATAAATAGATGGGGAAGTGGGCAGTTACTTTTTGTGCGCAGTTCGGGACTCTGAAGTTTTTATTAATAAATACAACAACAAAAGCTTCGGTGGGTTTTTCCGTGGTAAGCTTTGCTTTTAAGTTCCTACAACTTATGCGCTTATGCGAGAAATGTAGACAAACTTAAATAGTGAAAAACTCGCGTGACTCGCCCTCATTTGCATTCAGATCTTACTTATCGTAACTCAGCCACGGAATCTTTTAGTGAATTTATAAGTGATGATGACCTTGGAAGCTATGACAACCAATTTCATAAATGGAAACTGATAAGTCGTTTTAATCCATTTGCAATTGGGGCTGCAAAAAAGAAAATTCCGAATCAAAAAGGAAATTGGGTCTTACGGAAAATGATTGAAATAGCGGACGTCTAAAGAATGACTTCGCTTTTCTGAAAAACCCATCACACTCGCTATCTTTTCTTCCCTAGAAGAAACCCAGTAATCCTTCTATGCGAAATGGCAAAATGACGTTTTAATGTCTTTCAATTTTTTTTTGTAATTTTTGAAGCTAAATTCTGTTTTTAGTAAAAGCTATCAAAAGAATATCTGGACTAAGCGGAAGATTTATTTATTTGGACGTAAACATTCAATTTTGCTAGCATCTAATAGTTAGCTTGATATTTTTCAAATGTCTAAGATTTAGAGAGTTGTTAAAGAAGTTCTCGAAAAATATGACAAGTAATGATGTGAACTAGAGTTGAGCGTGAAAGGGGGAAAAGGGGATCGAATGAGAGAAATGCCTTGCCGATCAATATAGACGACAGAAAGAAAGGAGAACACAGAGCCGGCAAAAAAACGAAAAAAAAAAAGGAAAGAGGTTTCTTGAAGGCAAGTGAAGAGTGGGGCAAAGGCATGACTTGGTCGAACTGCAACACGCACAAACTATAGAACTATGCAAAAAAGGCTTCTCTAAAGTGAAGACTTCAACTTTAAGATCGACTCAACTACAAAACGATTTCATCATTGATACATAGCTAATTGTTACCCAAGTGGGCTGGAATGATGAAATACTCATGCTGAAAAAAGTGTTATTTCTTTTTGGATAGACATACGGTCTAACACCCACTACCACACCATGCAGCAAAAGAAACTCTAATATCTTCCACTCAATCTTTTCGCACAATTGACAAAAATTGAGAGAGACATGACACAAAACAGAAACTTGAAATTGTGTTTTTGTAGAGAACTTTTTGTCATTCAGTGGATCTTTTCAAAAATTAATGTTTTAATCAAATAAATGGCTGTCAACTTTTATTTCCAAAAAAAAAACACAAAATCGGGGGATAAATAATTGAAAGGTTTTGTCGAGAACATCTGTAGAATGCACAGATAGGTAGGTTGAGAACAAAAATTTGAGAAATCTCATTTCAGATCACCAAACACTTTTCAGACCATTGAGGTTCCGAACACAATGAATTTCAAATCCAGATGGATAAATGAGAAATTTTATAATAAATATTTTTAGGAAGACACAAAAATTTAAATAGATGTTTCAACGCTTACAAGATTAGAAAATGTTGGACTTGAACTTCTTTTTAGTGACGCCGCCGAATGGTTTTGCTGATTTTGCCGCTGTAAAAGCTTTGTTGAAGATTTGTAGCTAATTCGCTGCGAACTTTAGCTAGGTAGGGGGTTTTATTACAGAATTTATTGTGGCATAAAGTTTCAAGCACAGGAAACTGAGAGCTTCTTATCTATAGTACTTTGAGAGGGATTATGTTTCTTGACGCTGTCTCAACGCGTTCATATCCAGACCTATGCATAAATATTTCATTGCTTGAATATCTGAATAAGGTAGTAATAAGTAGCTAATCGTCCAACAATTCGTATATCGGATAGGAAATTTCGCAAAAGTTCATTCTGATTGGGAATCCTTTCATAATATTGATTTAAAAAGCGAACAGCAATAAAAGAGGAAATGAGGCTGCTTACCGCTAGAAAGTGTTACGTTTCAAGAACACCCTAGAGGGATTAAATTACTAATTTTTGTAAGAAATAGATTTAAAAGGTGCCTTGACCCTTGGTCTTGTATCCTTCACGTCCGCGGAACGCTCCTCCTCTGCGTGGCATTGTTCCTCTCATTGATCCTCTCGACCCATTTCCACCCCGTCCACTAAACGGGCCACTGAATGTTGTGCCACCAGGTCCCTTTTGCATGTCAATTCGACGCCATACAAACTTCTTCATCTCTCCATATTTCTTTTGAGTTTCCTGAAATTTTTCTTTTCACGGAAGATTGTTAGAGCAAAAAAATTGTTTTTTTTCGTGTGTTGCTAACAAAATTTTCACAATCAGTAATTTTTGATAGGTTAACTTTGAAGCATACACTTCAACATATATTGACCGCATTACCTCGTGCTCAAAAGGTCCTGCCCATTGGTGACTCTTTGAGAGTTCCTTTCGATATTTCATCAAGAAACGTCCTCCTTGATTCTCTCCATCCCAGAAAATTGGTTTGTTGGCCTCTTCACGGTTTTTCCTCCAACCAGTGCCAAGAATCTTAAATTAAACTTTGGCCAATAAAGCGTTTTCTAAAAACGTCTCCTGTAGACTACACAACTATCTAGTTACTTTACTTATCTAGTAAGAAGCAATTTTAGAACGTACCAACTTTCAGCTAGAATATTACCTTGTCTTGCTCAGCCACTGCGATAAATTGTTTTCCTGTTTCGATCAAAAGGTTTTGTATCCATCTTACTTGCTCAAATTTCAATCGTTGTCCACTTTCCCAAGTAGAGAGTTTTTGCTGAGAACATGTTTCAATATATTCATTTAAATTCTCCAAACCCCTTTCCATTGCGCTTCATCAAAATTTTTTATTTCCTTTGAAATCTCCTCCGCAGTGGGTGTGTTGGTTGCTTGTTGGATTTTTGTCATTGCTTCGACATCACCAAAGAATTCGGCCATTTTATACCTAATCTACTTTTTGTGTATCTTAATAAAGCAGTCTTTGTTTTCTTTTTTTCAATACTTACCAATAGTATCTTTCAGATGATTTGTGCTCAAGACCATTCTCATCTTTGATCGTTGCTTCATAACGAGGTGAGAATGGATCTTGCTTTCCTCCAACAAGAATGAAATCATTTCTTCCTAAATCATCGTAATCGCGATTCCATGCCTCATCTTCCTGAATATGATATAAATTCATTAAAAACAACGCGTGCTTCGTTTTTTACCTTGGAAAAACTATGTAGGCTAATAGTTAGGCTTCCAGATAAAAATGAGATTTTTATCAGAAGGAAAATTTGCTCAGGTAATTAATCATTTATAATATTAACATTCTATTATAATAATGCTGAAACAATACTTACATCTTCAGGAATTGATACTCCACCCAATTTTTTGATCTCGACTTGCATTGCTTTCATTTTCTCTTTGTGTCGCATATTTTCCAACTGAAACCATAGGTTTTAAAATGCGTTTTCATTTTGTATACCTTCAATTTTCGAATGCCTTGTCTGAGCATTTCCTTTTCGTTCTCCAATTCGAGGATTTTATCCCGGCTGAAGATTTGGTCATTTCGGATAATTGTGATCGCTTCTTTTAGCTCATCAATATCCTGCTCGACTTTTGACTTTGCCATTTTTCAAACAAAAGGTTTGCCGATTTCAATCAATTGTGCAATTGTAGCCAAATTACCTGAAAATCAGATTACCCAATTAGTGGAATGATTAGAAGCAAAGAAACATTGGTGATGTTACTATAATTTGTACTCAGTGAAAGTGAAAAGTTAAAAATTCGTTCCATGCTAAAAACATTAAGAATGATTGAGTAGGTTAGATGCATAAGAAGCAGAGTAGAGAGGAAAAAGAAAAAGAAGAGAACAGACGCCCGCAATTGAAAAAGTCCACGCTTTAGCACGAACCATTCGTAAAAATTAGGAAACGCTTCCAGAAAAATCGGCTGTTTTATTCAGATTGGTCAAATTTGTTCACATTTTACTTGGTTTGGCTCCAACCATCTGTATCAAGTTGCTTTTTTCAGATTCATTACAAATCAGCACTTGGGTTGATTTTTATACAATAGAATGCCCGAAGACGAAAAACACAAAGAGGTTAGAATAAAGAAAACAATTAATTGAATTGAATCATTAAAAAAATCAAACTTTCAGGATTAAATTTAGGTGGCATCCCCATTCAACCAAGAAGAAATTGTCCGAATTATTCATGAGGTTTTTGATCGTCAAATTGGATACAGCACTTATAACTTTCAACAGTCAAATGAATGGAATACGAAATGTGTTGAAGGTAATTATTAGGCTGTCCAGAAAGTCTTTTCGTTCCTTTTCGTACTTCCGTTTAAAACCAACAAATGCACCAATTAAACTACAGTTTGTTTCATTAGAAAGGCCAATTATTTTTCTGCAAAATAACATTAAAACGGGTTTAAAATGCCTTATGTCTGGATTTTTTTGGGAGTGTGAAGTCGGCTAGTCAAAAAGGGCGATGGCTCGATGATGCGGTTTAGACATTTTAGCTAAGGAAACCTATCTTCATGTCAATAGATAAAAGATAGGACACCAAAAGTTAAGTAAATAGCCAAATTATCAGAGAAATTGATTCAGCCAATTTCTTCGTAGAGATTTTTATAGCTTTTTACGAAAAACACGTTTTCCCTCTCCAATTTGCTTAAAAGTGAACCCAAATGGACTTAAAAAGATGGGAAACTAAACAATAAACACTTTTTATTTAGAGCAAACCATAGATTAATTGAGTGAATTTGTTATTTCTCAACAGAAGTACGAAAAGGAACGAAAAGACTTTCTGAACAGCCTAATAGAAGTTACCTAGGTCGTTGAATTACATTTTAATATTAGTGATAACACAGATGAAGGTTAGCAATAAGACTAATGATATATAATTCTCCGATAGGAACTGGACAAGCTAGTATTTTGCTCGAAAGTACCAAAATCAGCACCCTTGAAACAAATAATCTTTTTTCCTAGGCATCACAGCCGAATTGGTAAAGCTCGATCGCCCCTTCAAATATATTGTCACCTCATCTTTACTCCAAACAGGAAACGGTTCTGGCCTTAACGTATCAACCGTTTCATTTTGGAACAAGGGAACCGATATTTCGTTTTCTCATCGATGGGAAGGGAAACATATGCTCGCCATTGTGAACATTTTTGCTGTAGCCTATTGAAGTAAATATTATCTCATTCAGAAATCCCAGAAAGCAGCACAAGCGATATGATTCCACGAAACAATACTAATTTCTTTGACAGTCAGAGGCAACTAATAGTAAAACTGTTAGAAGCACAATTATAATTTAGGCTCGGTAAGTTGTACCCAATTCATTTACCTATTCGAAGGATGCATATTTCCTAACAATATGGCGGAAAACAGATTCTTTTGTTCTTACCATTGAGAAGGTTTTCGGATGAGAAGATGAGAAGTCTATCCGTCCTTTCTTCTCGCGGCGGTGTTTCTTAATACAATCACAAGTTCCACAAAACTATATAGGTAGCTAAAAATGCCTTCATCATTTGTATTCGCTTTCTTGATGCAAATCAAGAAAACACGGAAGTTGTAGTCAAAACATTAATGAGAAAATACAACCTAGGTATTAGGCTGTTGAGAAAGTCTTTTCGTTCCTTTTCTAGGCTCTTAAATGTAAAATGGGTGGGAATTCCTTTGCTGCCCATTCTTCGCTGATGAGAAAAGGGCCACTAATAAAAATGCATTCTTGGCCGAGAGTTTGTTCGAATTCCATACTGTTTATAGTGGTACGATGCATTGTTTGAAAGTGAGCAAGTGCCGGGGGAGGACGTTTGTCGGTATCCACTCAACAGCGGTAACCTTTTTTGCGCTAATTATTTTAGCAGAAAATAAGAAAACTAAACAACACTGTTCCTTAATGTTTGATTCCTTATCTGTAACCTGTTTCGCCAAAAGGCTTAGGCTTAGGCTTAGGCTTAGGCTTAGGCTTAGGCTTAGGCTTAGGCTTAGGCTTAGGCTTAGGCTTAGGCTTAGGCTTAGGCTTAGGCTTAGGCTTAGGCTTAGGCTTAGGCTTAGGCTTAGGCTTAGGCTTAGGCTTAGGCTTAGGCTTAGGCTTAGGCTTAGGCCCAGGCTTAGGCTTAGGCTTAGGCTTAGGCTTAGGCTTAGGCTTAGGCTTAGGCTTAGGCTTAGGCTTAGGCCTAGGCTTAGGCTTAGGCTTAGGCTTAGGCTTAGGGCTTAGGCTTAGGCTTAGGCTTAGGCTTAGGCTTAGGCTTAGGCTTAGGCTTAGGCTTAGGCTTAGGCTTAGGCTTAGGCTTAGGCTTAGGCTTAGGCTTAGGCTTAGGCTTAGGCCCAGGCTTAGGCTTAGGCTTAGGCTTAGGCTTAGGCTTAGGCTTAGGCTTAGGCTTAGGCTTAGGCTTAGGCTTAGGCTTAGGCTTAGGCTTAGGCTTGGGCTTGGGCTTAGGCCAGGCTTGGGCTTGGGCCAGGCTTGGAGGCTTAGGCTTAGGCTTAGGCTTGGAGGCAGGCTTGGGCAGGCTTGGGCTTGGGCTTGGCAGGCTTAGGCTTGGGCTTGGGCTTAGGCTTGGGCTTAGGCTTGGGCTTGGAGGCTTAGGCTTAGGGCTTAGGCTTGGGCTTAGGCTTGGGCTTGGGGCTTAGGCTTAGGCTTGGGGGGCTTGGGCTTAGGCTTGGCAGGCTTAGGCTTAGGCTTGGGCTTAGGCTTGGGCAGGCTTGAGGCTTAGGCTTAGGCTTAGGCTTAGGCTTAGGCTTAGGCTTAGGCTTAGGCTTGGGCTTAGGCTTAGGCTTAGGCTTAGGCTTAGGCTTAGGCTTAGGCTTAGGCTTAGGCTTAGGCTTAGGCTAGGCTTAGGCTTAGGCTTAGGCTTAGGCTTAGGCTTAGGCTTAGGCTTAGGCTTAGGCTTAGGCTTAGGCTTAGGCTTAGGCTTAGGCTTAGGCTTAGGCTTAGGCTTAGGCTTAGGCTTAGGCTAGGCTTAGGGCTGCGGCTTGGGCAGGCTTAGGCGGGGCTGGGCAGGGCTAGGCCTGAGGCCTAGGCCTGAGGCCTGGGCAGGCCTGGGCCTGAGGCCCCTGAGGCCTGAGGCCTGAGGCCCTGAGGCCCAGGCCTGAGGCCTGAGGCCTGAGCCCACAGGCCTGAGGCCTGAGGCCTGGGGCCTGAGGCCTGGCCAGGCCTGAGGCCTGGGCCTGGGCCTGGGCCTGGGCCTGGGCCTGGGCTAGGCCTGAGGCCTGAGGCCTGGGGCCTGAGCCTGAGGCCTGAGGCCTGGCCTAGGCCTGGAGGCCTGAGGCCTGGGCCTGGCCCTGAGGCCTGAGGCCTGGAGGCCTGAGGCCTGAGGCCTGAGGCCTGGGGCCTGAGGCCTGGGCCTGAGGCCTGAGGCCTGGGGCCTGAGGCCTGGGCCTCAGGCCTGGGCCTGAGGCCTAGGCCTGGGCCTGGGCCTGAGGCCTAGGCCCTGAGGCCTGAGGCCTGAGGCCTGAGGCCTGAGGCCCTGAGGCCTGAGGCCTGAGGCCTGGCCTGGCCTGGGGCCTGAGGCCTGGGGCCCTGGGGCCTGAGGCCTGGCCTGAGGCCTGAGGCCTGGGCCTGGGGCCTGGGGCCTGGGGCCTGGGCCTGAGGCCTGAGGCCTGGGCCGAGGCCTGAGGCCTGGGCCTGGGCCTGAGGCCTGAGGCCTGGGCCTGGGGCCTGAGGCCTGAGGCCTGGGCCTGGAGGCCTGAGGCCTGAGGCCTGGGCCTGAGGCCTAGGCCTAGGCCTGAGGCCCTTGGCCTGAGGCTGAGGCCTGAGGCCTGGGGCCTGAGGCCTGAGGCCCTGGCAGGCCTGGGCCTGAGGCCTGAGGCCTGAGGCCTGAGGCCTGAGGCCTAGGCCCTGGGCCTGGCTAGGCCTAGGCCTGAGGCCTGGCGAGCGGGTTTGCAGAGTCAGGCAGAACGGCGCTGGATGTGGCGCAGGTGCCATGGTGACCTCCCAGCTACTTTGTGCGTCGTACCATATAGTGAATTCGGTTTGGAAATACTCGATGCGTTTACATTGGTGATAAATCGAAGAGCGGGCGGCAATTCCTGTGTTAAAGCCTAGAGAAAAGGACGAAAAGGGCTTTCTCAACTGGCCTATCTCAGGATGTGTTTTCTCGTGTGCGACTAACTCGGTGATTTGCATCAGAAAAGCATACAGGTAGCTATATAGTTTTGTGGGGCGTTGTAAAAACACCGCCTGCAGACGGACATCAGGCACTTCTCGTATCTTCTCGTCGAAGCACAGCTTTGTAGTGGAGCAAGGGCCGTTTCCTGCTGTGTTAGCTCGGCTCGGAGCAGGTGAGCCAGACAACTAAGGTTGTACTTCTAACAATTTGCATTAGTTGCCTCTGTTTATCGAAAGAATTGTGATGGCTGGGTAGTGTTACTTGCCTGAAGTTTCTGGTGTACGTTACTCGATGAGCTTACGACATGTTCGCAGCGTATTCCCATCGTGAAGGACTCCGCTGGACCAAGATGAGGCGATTTGTTGGAACCAGAACTCATTCCCTGCTGAGCTATGGTGATAATCTTTGAGAGGGAGCGATCGGCTTTACTGTCACTGTGCTGAGAAAAGGTATTTGTTTCAAGAACGCTGTTTGACTGCTCGAACAGTGTGACAAAGTATGGTCAGCGACAGGTAACTTCCTAATAGACTGTTCAGAGGTGTCTTTGGTGGCTGCCTGCGCTGCTGGACGGTAACCGATTGTCTGCGGTTTGCCTAAATCAGTGACGTGACGGTTTCCCATGGCCTGAAGTCATTTGGGTCGCACAAGCTGGAATTGAGGAAAACTGTGTTTTCATGAGAAAGCACAAAATGCTGCGGCGATTGGCTGAAGTCGCGGTGCTGCTCTGATGTGCTTTGTCCGTGAAAGACTGGGACTCGCCAGCTGGAATGTCTCAAGCCACGTCAGCCATCTGCACAGCCGACTTCACACTCCCGAAAATCACGTTGCAGCACCATTTTAATGTTATTTTGAAGTATTGACGCTGCAGCGTTGAGCCAGGTGCATTGTTGGTTTTAAACAGGGGCTGGAAAGCTGGACTGTAATAGTACAGCTAAAGCTTGTCTTGTATTCATTGTTGTTGGATAGTGCAGCATCCCAGTCAAAACACTCTTCAGTTTATTCTAGCTGATGGGATGCCGCAAATTTTGTCTGAAAGGTTTTAATGATTCAGTCGTTTCTTCCCATTCTAACCTCTTTGTGTTTTTTCAATATTTCAGGCGTAACCAACGTAAAAAGTCAACCCGAAGATGCTGTTTGCTGGTGCAGCGGCGGTGGAGCCAGGCACCAGTAAATGTGTGGGCCAATGCCATAAAGGCACCGGCCGTTTTTGCAGGCGCGTTTGATGATTCGTGCTGCGAATGGCTGGCAACGGCACCGCCGCATCTGCTGCTTGTAAATCTGGCACGCCGATGCGTGCGTGTTGGCGTTGAAGATACAGGCACTCGCTTTTCTGGTGGAAGTATGGTAACGCATCACCAATCTGTGTTCATAGTGAATGATCTGACTTTTTCGAGCCAGCAATTGACAATCATTGGCTGTTTGAAAATGCAAGACAAAGAACGAGATTTGTTGAGTATTTAAAGCGTCCTGCGTATCGAGAATGTGTTGTGGTGACGAAGCTCGGGCAAACGTCAGAGTGAAGGTATACAAATGAAAACACGACCCATTTTATGGTTTCGTTGGAAGCAATAAAGAAATGAAAGCAACTGAAGATCAGATCAAAAAATTGAGTGAAGATGCGAAAGTATATTGTTCGGCATTATTCTGTAAGAGTGTTGTATTATATTGATTACCTGGCTCCCTTCTGATAAAATCTCATTTATCTGGAAGCAACTGTGGCCTACCAGGTAGAAACTGCGCGTGTTTTAATGGTATCATTCAGAGACGAACATGTCACGTGTACAACGATTTAAGATGACTGTTGGAGAAGCTGGGCCATTCTTTCACCTCGTTACATGGCTGGCGATCATGGTGTTCAAATCGCACGAAAGATCTGTGATGGTAGCCCGAGAGCAGATTTGCTGTACGCAAAGCCAGATATCAAAATGACGCCAGCGCGGTGATGGAACGATCAACAACAACACCGGAAAATTTCAAGAAAGGAAATAAAGAACACGATGATGGCTGGGTGAAGGCAAATGGTATGATGAGCATTTGCTCAGCTGCTTCTCTTTAGGAAGAGGCAGTGAAGTGACGTAGTTATATGCTGTCGAAACTCTGAAACTGGCGTAGCATTATTCTGGTTGCGAGCGTCTAATTGCTGATGTAGTAACTAGGCATAATTGTGTATTTTGAGGGAACGTTCAGAAAGCTGCTTGTGACAAAGATTCTTGGCACCTGTTGGAAGAAAAACCGTGAAGAAGACCAGTATTGCTGGGATGAGACGTTTCTTGATGATATCGAAAGGGCTCTCAAGGTATGAGCGGAAGATTTGGCTTTTACGAGTGTGCGTGTCTGTTGAAGTGCTCCAAGGGAACCAACCTATCAAATTACGATTGAGAGGCTGATGCTGTCCACGAAAAGCTGGTCCAGCTCTGCTGTATCTTTCGCCATATGAAGATGAAAGTTGGCGTCATTCGGACCTGTGGCTGACTTTGCGATGGCCCGTTTAATCGGACGAGGTGAAAATGGTCGAGAATCGTAGGGCTATGTGCGCAGGCTTCGCCGGCGTGGCGTTTGAGACCAGGTCAGGCACTGCGTATTTCTTACAAAAGTACAGCAATTGTCCTCTGAGTGTTGAGCATATTTGCTCGTGATGGTAACCTCGTCTGCAAGTGTGTCCTGAGGAAGGGTTCCCGGAAATTTCTATCGTATACGAAGTGTTGGTTGATGCCGCTATTACGCGGCTGGATCTGTTCAGAGTGAAGATGTTTTTGTGATGGTCTGGATATATGTTGTTGGTGGCGTCAGATGTCACAAAGCATGAACGAGCTCTCGGTGATATGCAATAGGTGCAATGATATTACTGCTTCGCGGCTGATCAGCACAGTGTTCGGCAAGCTTTGCGGCATCACTGAAAACAGTCAAACATCACAAAGAGTTCAGTCAGCGACCTAATCTTGCAAACTTGGCGTATTTTGTGATAAAATATTTTATTATAAGAACTGAATTTAGTTCGTGTGTTCCTTTCAGTGATCTGAAAAGGAGCTGATCTGAGTGAGGCTGAAGCCACCTCTTACCTGTCCACGTTGATATTACTCGACAAAACCACCCGGCTCCCCCTGTGTTTTGGAAGTAAAAAGTTGACGGCTCCCGGTAAGGCTGTGGCCCGAAGATCCACTAAAGTTCTCTAAGCTGCAATTTCAAGTTCTGTTTGTGTCTTGTGTATCTCCAGTGACCGAGTTGAAGAATCTCAGAGAGTCAACAGGTTTCTTTTTGCTGCCTGGTAATATTATATGTCAAGTAACACTTTTTCGGCATGTTCCGGCGTACTGGTAGTACATCAATCGTTTTGGCGCAGCCAGTCGATCTTGGGAATTTCGCAGAAACACTACCAGTCCCCATTAGTGTTACGGTTCGTTTGAAGTCGCTCACTCTTTCACTGCCTTCCCTTTTTTTTTCGTTTTTGCTGTCTGTGTGCTCGCTTTCTGTCTCGACAATACTCCGATCCCCCTTTTTCTCGCGCTCAGCTACAGTTCACGTGTTGCCGACTCGGCACTCGGAGGCATGCCAGCTGGCTCTCTAAGTGAACGTTGAATCAAGCCTTGAATGCTAACGAAGATTGGTATTTACGATCCAAATGTAAATCTTCATATCAGATGTTGGCGATGGCACACTAAAACGAATTTGCGCTTCGAGCGAGTGAGAGGCGTTAAGCTCGTTTTAGTAAATTTCACGCGTACTGGTTTCTTCTGGGGAAGAAGATAGCGGAAGTTTCGAAGAAGCGAGGGTCGTTGACTCGGTGAATATTTCGCGGGGCCAATTTTTCTTTTTGGCTATTACAGAGTTAAATGACATCGATTTCCATTTGAATTGATTGTCTGTCCCTTATGGAAATTCGCTACTTCGTGGCGAGGATAGTAAGATCTGTGCAAATGAGGGCGAGTTTGAAGCTTGCCCCGCTTCCCCATCCATTATATAGCCAACAGCGCGTGATAACCACGTTACATATAACAAAGACGCTAGAATCGTGTCGTGACGCACAAAAATTGTTTATTAGTCGC